AATATGCACTCCGTAATAACGATATTCGGCGAAATATATCAAATACAGCTCAAAAATACCTTTGCAAAATTTTATCGAGATCGGTTCAGATTTAGATGTAGCTCTCATATATATCTTCACTCGATTTCAAGTTTATTGTGCACTAAATGGTTCATATGAGCACGAATTGGATGGATTTTTGCACATACGAACAAATTCAGCCTAGAAGAAAATGTATTTTGTAATTTGTAATGTAATTTGCTGAAAATCGGTTAATATATAGCTATAGGTGCTACACACATGTTTCATCCGATTTTTTTTTACTCCCTCACACCCGTAAGATATTCTCGACAACGACGGCATTTGGTGCCAACTATCAGATACAGCATAGAAATACCTCTGCTAAATTGTTAAGAGGTCGGTTCAGATTTGGATATAGCTCACTTATATATCTTCATCCGATTTATAGTGCCTAAAAAGTCGAATGCAAGCTCTAATAGAATTGATCCTGATGAATATCGGTCCAAACACAAATGACTTCGTCAAATTTAGAAAGATATTTAGATAGAAGCCTGGCATATGTTGGTTCCTTTCCACTTTAAATTATAACTGCTTTAACGATCATAGTTGGTATATTTTAATTCTCATTAATTCCTCATAAAATGATGTATTTGTTATATGTAGCTCTACTATATATGCAAGGTGGTGTAGGGTATCATAAAATCAGACCAGCCTGACTTTGGCCTTCACAGGTTTTCTCCCTAAGACTTAAATTATATCCAAAAAGTTAATCAAAATAGAGCTTGTATTTTTGGGAGAATAATTGAAGTTTTTTGATTTATATGTATATTTTGTTTCTTAACTAGATTTATTCACATATGTGAATGAAATAATATTATTTTCCGACAACAACATGATTTGAATCTATTAATCTATCTATTGATTGATCTATTGAACGAACTTTTAACTATGTCCAATGCAGCGAATACTTACAACGATATGATATAATAGTAAAAATAGTAAAAACGCCCATTTTCGTCAATAAATATTAATTTTTATAAAAACAGCTAGGTCTTGAAGAAAAAACGCCGAGAATGGAAAACATTTTCATAAGCTATATACATATTGTTTCGTGAAACACTGCCTATGAAAGATCACAAGAACTATGAAAACTGCCAGGTGGTCTTGGTAAGTAGGCGGATATTTTATCGCATCGCCGCAAATATTTGCATTTGGCCAAAGGCAACGCCACGACATTTGATCTTGTTCAGAATAACGCACGATTTTCAAATATCCTTGGGCTAAATTCAAATACTTACAACCAGATATCATTCAGTGGCCAGCATTTACATGACAGTTGACTTTGTCGGCTCCCAATTTTTTTTTATTTTATTTTTTGTCACACCATTAGACACTTCACACCATCAGACACCATTCACTACGCACTACAAGTTTGTACTAGTATCTCTAATATGTCAATAGGCTTTTGGCAAAGAAAACGATAAGGTAATGCAGAAAAAACAAGTTAATCTTACTCCCAAGAATGTGCAATAAATTCTAAAATCACAAAAAAAAAATACCGAAAAAAAACAAACGTCAACAACACTTCAATAAAATTTACATTTTCCAAACAGAAAGTCCGAATAGAATTAATGCAGCAAGTTTTGAGTAAGTTGCTCCAAAATGTAGATCAATGATCAATATTGGCCATGTCAACCAACTAAACCAACTGTGCGGCGGGCATTGCCAACATTCGATCATGCCGCCTTTTATTCGAAATGAAATTCCCAATCGTTCACAATTTTAGTTCATTTTTTCATTTTCAATTTGAATTATTTGTTTTTCGTTGTCATTAATTTTAATGAATTTAATTGTCACCAAATGCGTAGTACAATTAAAAATTCATTTAATGACATGAACTCAAAATGTACCCCTATGCTTTGCAACCCGCCCGAAATATGTAGTTTGAAAAGAGAACAACCGCAGTATGTTACATGGAATTGTAAAAATTAGTAAATCAAACATAACAACATAAACCTCTGTGGACCATACATTGTACGTGCCACAGATGCAGATTATTGTGACACATAAATTTTAACTTATTACAAAAAATGTGAATTTAAAAAAAAAAATTGAAATGAAGTATTTTTAAACAAAACGAGTAAAAGGCAGCTAAGTTCGGCCGGGCCGAACTTCTAATACCCTCCACCATTTGGAAGGAACTTTGCAAATTAAAAAAAAAATCGAAAAATACCGCTTAAATGAAAACCGTTATATAGGGGCTTTACAAAGATGACGACCTGAGTGGCTGTAGTACCGATTCCGAACTTCAAATACGAAATTTGAAACAATTCATCTGAACACCGAATAAAGGGAGGTGCCGTTATATGTAGTCTATACTAAGCCAGGGTCCTATATATGTCATTTTCTATCATAGGTTGTAGCACCCATTCAGATTTTCAAATAGGAATTGTGAAACAATTTCGGTAAATTATGACGCTAAAATCATCAAAAAATTTCGAATATTGGGGGTATCGTTTTATGGGGGCTATTCCGAAAATTGGGAGGTAGCTTTACATGGGGGTTATACAAAAATGTAAACCGAATTGAACCAGCATTTAGCATTTTGACCAGGGACATTTGCCCAATATTTACGCACTCCATCGTGCTCTTAGTTGTTGTTGTCCATTTATACAGCTAAATATAATCCAATGGTCATCCAAAACGCTAGAATTCTTCCCTGTCCTGAACTCTCTTCTCAGGCGTGTCGAGTGGCTTCAATTGTGTGATCAGGAATTTTTTTTTCTGTTTTTGGTTTATTTGAACCCCTAAATATTTTGCTGCCATTTCTAAAAGCAAGAGGCCCCTCTGTATCCCTAAATATAGACTCATCTATATGATTTGCTTATATTCGTCAATGAAATCAGCATAAACAAGTTAAAAAGCAGTAAGATCGGCCGGGTCGAACTTTGAATGCCCTCCACCATTTGGAACGAATTTGGAAATTTTCAAAAAATAAAATCCATTAAAAATTCTGTTAAAATCTTAAAAATACCGAATATAGCCGTTATATTAGGGTCTCTACGACGTGACCCTACATAGGCGTTGTTTGTCATAAGCCATTACCATATTCAAATTCCAAACTTGAAATAAACGGCGAATAATATAGCTAAAATCATCAAAATACCGAATATAGGGAGGTACTGATATACGAAGACCTGGACCTGCATACACAATTTTCTGTCACAGACTGTTGTTCCCATTACGAACCTAAATACGTAATTTGAAACTACTCCGGTGAGTAATGGCGCTAAAATCAAGAAAATACCGAATATTGGGAGGTACCGTTACATGTGTGCTGTATAAAGACATGGACCTGCATAGACAATTTTCATTACGAACATCAAATACCAAATTTGAAACAATTCAGGTGAATAATGTGGCTAAAATCATCAAAATACCAAATATCGGAAGGTACCGTTATGTGGGGGCTATATGAAAACGTGGACCTACATGGCCCATTTACGAACTCAACCTGCCTACTCGTAAAATAAACATGTGTGCAAAATTTTAGCCTTCTATCTCAATTCGTTCGAAAGATAGCGTGATTACAACAGACAGACAGACGGACAGACGAACATTGCTAAATCGAGTTAGAATTTTACGCTGATCAGGAATATATATACTTTGTTGGGACTGACATGAGTATTTCGAGAAGTTACAAACCGAATGACAAAGTTAATATACCCTCCATAGTATGATTGAGGGTATAAAATGCCAGAAGTTCGCCTTTTGTGTATCGCCTGTAAGCAATGTTTGTATTTTTTCACACAAAGATAGTTGTCCATTCTACTCGCTGTTCTAAACTCTAACTTCATGAGAGATTTCGTGTCCTTTGGTTTCTTTTTGTGACCTTTATAACGGCTGCAAAATCAGGAACATTTTTAGTTTTTGGTCCATTTCAACCCCTTAATATATTGCGGACATCTTGGAAAACAATAGACCTAGCCCTTCTGAGCCTAACCCTACCCTTCTGAAACTTTTCGTGAAGATCGTACGATAATTGCAATCTGTATTTAATAACCCTAACCTGTGTTGTAAGGTGAAAAAATATTACAAAATATACACTTCAATATTATAAGTTAAATTGAAAAAATCGCATGCGATAAAAAATATGAAAAAAAAAATAAAAAATGTCACAAAATACTACAAAATCTATATAAATATCATTATTTTCATATTTGTATGCGATTTTTTAAGATTTTATATTTTTTTTAGCATTCTGAATTGACAAAATTTGTCAAAATCGGTCCAACCATTCATGAGGTGTATGCATTCTAGCTAACATCCCCTTCCTTTTTTATATACATTGTATACATTTCGCTATATATCCGATATATTATTTACCATCGGCATCTACGTACCGGTTAGAATTAACGTGTTTGTCTATTCATGATATCGCCGGGATTAAAAATGTTCGCGATTTAATGGAAAATTTGACTTTTATTTAACACAAATGTTATGGTCTATTTCACCCACATAATATTACCCGATCTCGAGGTCTAGTCCCATGCTAACTTCCACTTCGATTGGTCTATAATTGCGATCTGTAGAGCAACTGCAAAATCAGAAAAATTCTCAGTTTTTGGCCATTTCAACCCCTAAATATTATGCAATAGGCTCCTATTCTGGCTCTAGCCCCACCTCCATTTTAAATTTTTGTGAAGATCGGCCATAATTGCGACCTGTAGAGAGATTACAAATTAACATGAACAGACGTACAGACGGACGGACATATATAGCTAGATCGACTCAGCTCGGCGAGATAGGAAGATCCATATATTTTCTTTCCTATGTGGGAAACGAATATTTTGAGGTTTTACATAACTTTTGGCCCAATCAAACTAATAATACCCCCAATACATAGTGTTGTAGGGTATAAAAATATTTACTTACATACACATATTTTTAATTACTTCTATATGTCAATAATATAAATATTTTTTATTATTTATTTTCAGAAAAAATTTATAGTCAAATTGAAAGACAAAGATACGATGGATGGTATAATAATTTAGCACATCCCGATTGGGGATCAGTGGGTAAGTGTAAACTTTCATTTCTAAACCAGCAAATGTCCGCTACGTCGTCCGAAAAAATCGGAAATATTTGTACATGTCTTAACACACGTTTGATGTTAGCTTTCAAACTGTTGACAATATTCTTTTATTATAAAGTCCTAAGAAGGAACAGCAGTAATGACATACTATACAGCTAAAGGTATATTAAGTTTGTTATTCCATGTGCGAGAATTGGAAATGGAATGGTGACGTTGGTATTGATGGTAGAATTGAACGAAAATGATATATGCATAGATGTATTTATTCAACATACGAAAAGTATTTTGTAGTACTAAATGTGTCATGTGTTGCCATGATGTGAACTCATATAGCTAGAATTCGGAAATTTAAAATTTCGGACTTTATGCTTTCAAGGCGTTGACAACTCAGTTTCCCTCAGTTGTTCACATATGCCCCACTATTAATAAAAACTTACTAAAGGTTTAAATGAGGAAAACGTTTTTTTTTTCGAGTACGTAAGAGCCGTATTCAGAAACGTTCCTAACTTTTATTGAAAACCAATTAACAACTCTTTCAATTTTCCAAACATCTTCGTTATTCTATGTTTGTACGTTTGATTGTTTGTTTTGTTTTCTATTAATTGACTCAAAAAATGCTGAACAGATTTTCCTGAAATTTTCCAAATAAATTACAGCATAGCTTGAAAGTAACATAGGCTATATAAATTTTTGAAATTCCACATGGAACTGGTAATATAGCATCAGAATCGGAGATACCTCCCAGAAACTTAGATTTTAGGTGCACATTTCTTTTGATCGATAAGATACATTCTCCAAATTTGGAATGCGTAACGGAATTTGGAGCAAAATCGGTTCAGATTTCGATATAGCTCCCATATATTTTCAGTCGGTTTCATATATATGATACACCAAACACGATATGTATGTCCGATTCCAATGAAATTCGGAATGAATTTGGTACAAAAATAATTGTTGCAAATTATTTTGAAATCGGTTAAGATTTGGATATTTCAGCCATTGATTTCACATATTTGATGTTCCAAAAACCCGATATGTATATCTGATTCCAATGAAATTTGAAATAAGTGACGGCATTTAGTACAAAGAAAAAATTCCCAAATTATATTGAAATCAGTTGAGGTTTGGGTATAGCTCACATATATATTTCGGCCTATGCATTTTCTGCACCAAACAAGATATGTATGCCGATTCCAATGAAATTCAGAATAAGTGACGGAATTTGGTACAATAATAAATGTGTAAAATAATACTGAAATCCGTTGATATTCGGATATAGCTCTCATATACATATATTTCGGCTGATGTATTTTATACACCAAACACGATATGTATGTCCGATTCCAATAAAATTCAGAATGTGTAGTGAAATTTGGCACAAAAATAAGTTATGCAAATTATATTAAAATCGGTTGGATATACCTCTCATATATCTATTCGGCCATTAAGCTCATGAAACGCGAAATAACATTCGATTCCATTCAAGCTTGGTACACCTCAATATTTCCGTCAACACAAGATATATTATAAAGATGGTAGAGATCGGACCATTTCTTTTGATACGTACCCCACAAAGGGTTCAAGATTTTAAGAAACAAAACGATCAAAGATATTGAAATAAGCATCCAACTCTCTTCAAATTTCACACACACAAACATTTTTTTTAACACAATATATGTTGTGAAGATGATTGATATCTGTCACAAGGGCCACAACTTTCAATACTTGCGAGTCAAGTCTGTGATTCGTTGCAACTTGCTATATCTAAACATTTGTCTCAACCAGAAACCTGAGATGAGTATGGAAATTATGATTTCGCAAGAGCTCGGTAGTAAAACTTTTTGAATTAGATTTTATTAACTGAACTATCTAAAGACATTTTCTTGATATTTTATTCAGAGCCGATTATAAGAGATATCAATAGCATTCGTTCTTAATTATAATAATGTAAACAACCTTCAATCTCACATAGACATCTTTTTCATCAAGACAAAAAAATTGCAATATATTTTGGTCCCATAGTGAAAACCTTATTTAATTAATAATGTTTATAAGTAACGCTCCCAACAATTGCTCTTCTTAAAAATGAGCTTAGCATTCAATTTATTGCTGCAAATGTTGAGGAAAAGATTTTTTCATGATCCATATAACGTATATAACGTACATTTGTTACGGGTAACTCTAGTGCAAAGTAGTGTAGAGTATCATGTAGTCAGCTCGTCAGACTGTTATCCTTTAGTTCTTATTTTTGTTTCGTTATGTCGAGGTTTGAACATAAACTGTTTCTAGAATATCACGTTTCTAAAAATATAAAAATCTTACTTTCCATTGAAATACAACATTTATTTATTGTTATTTCCGTACTTTAACCTTAGCCATATAGCTAGAGAGGGTATATCGGCGTTTTTTGTTTTTTATTTGAGTTTTCCTAAAAAAAATGCCAATTTTTTGATGCTGCATCAATGGCACATGGCTAGAGAATTTCAAATATGTTAACGTTAATAAGTTGGCTTTTGCGCGTTAAAGTTCTGACACTATATTCATTGAGAAAAATCTGCTATTGTAATTAATTTAAAAAAACGGTAATAAGCAATAAATCAAGTAGTGACTATTATATTCGTCCAAAGAAATTTAAACTGAGTTTTATGTATTGCAAAATATTGAGAAAACTATCTATTCACACTAGCAAATTTCCACGACTTCGTACGCAAAAGAAAAAAATATATTTAGTAAATAGAATCCATTAAATAAAAGACAACTATTTCATAAGTTCAAATTGTAAACTGAACAACTAAATCTATATATTTCTAAAAATGGGTAACTTTATATTTATATTTTTTCATTTCTAATATACGACTATATTTCATAAATTTCAATTAACAAACGTTGGATACATGGAAGTTTGTTCATTGTTGACAAAGTCACATACAAATTTTCAGAGCTCTAAGGCTGGAAATACATAAAGAGCATATTTGGCTAGCTTAAGTCATCAGCTGGCTTCTTCGTAGATGAACAAAGGAGTTCTAGGTTGACTTAGTTCGATTTTGGCCCTGGCTCCTTTGTTCATTTCCGAAGAAGCCAGCCGATGACTTAAGCCAGCCAAATATGCTCTTTATGTATTTCCAGCTTAACTCTTCACGATAACCAGACATCTTATGTACAATATTTAGAAACTTTTAATATATTTCGTATCATTTCATTATAAAACCCATTTTGCCATCATTATTTCTGTGTACGTACAACCAATGGTAACTTTTATACTTTTCGTACACTATGTAGTACGATTTTCCACAATTAATACTTTTCGAGCACGTTTTAGTATGTATATCCAAATCCGCACCTTTATCGTTGATCTTAATTCTAAAATTTATATTTCTAGCTCTATTCGTACACTTGCTTCCGAAATTCCTGTATTCGAGGGATTGCGTCACTTCCATGGTACAATAAGGAGGTAGAACAGCTTCGTAAAACTACAGCTTCCTGCCAGACCCATTCAAAATTATATGAAACAAGTTGCTTTCAGTTTTTTCATATTTTTCCTCAATTTAAAATGAATGAAATGTCCGGATTTTCGCTCAAAAACGTGATCCACACTGTTCAATCTTTCAATCTCATGGCTAAACTGGTTAAAAGATTACTTTTAACCTTTTTATTGTACCATGGTGATTTCTGTTCAAATTTCAAATAATTCTGTAAAAACGAAATTTGAAATTTGAAACGATTCCGGTGAAAAATGTTGCTGAAATAATCAAAATACCGAATATCGGGAGGTACCGTTGTATGGGGACTATACGACTTGGACTTGCATAAAAAAATTTGTGTCATAGGCTGTAGTACCCATTGCGAACTTCAAATACGAAATTTTAAATACTTCCGGTAAATAATGTCCCTAAAATCTTGAAAATACCGAATATCGGGAAGTACCGTTATATGGGCGCTAAACGAAAACGTGAGCCGACATAGCCCATTTACGAACGTAAAGAACTTGATCATGTATGCATGCATGTATGTAGGGTCTATTATGAATATTTCTAGGAGTTACAAACGGAATGACAAAGTTAATATACCCTCCATAGAATGGTAAAGGGTATAAAAATGTCGGAAACAACATCAAATTTTAGAATAAGTTTAGATTTGTTCAAATTGGTCACCTTTGGCACGAATTATGACCTTCAATTGGCAATGAAACCGTCACACGCTGCCCGAATGCTGCTCTGCGGTATTTTGGCCCATTTCCGGCGAAGCGCTTGCTTGAGGTGATCGACACTTGGGTATTTTTTAGTGCCAACCTTGCTTTCCAAAATACCCCAGACACGATAGTCCAAAAGATTGGTATATGGAGATTTTGGTGGCCATTGTGAGCTGGTAATGAAGCGAGGAACCTCATTTTGTAACCATTCTTGAGTGGCGAGTGCTGAGTGCTATGGTGCTGAATACTGTTGGAATGTCCAAGGTCTGCGGCCAAAATGTTTGCGTGCCCAAGGCTTTATTACACCCTCCAGAATATTTTCGCGATAATATTCGGTATTTATTCTGATGCCACGGTCGATTAATACGAGCGGAGAGCGACCATCGGCTGTAAGGCGGCCCACAACATCACCATGGCTGGCGCTTAAGTTCTGGTGGCCAACCGAAATCACACATTTTCAGCTGACCTCTTTGGCAAGTAAAGACGATCATTTTGATTGTTCACAAACTGCTGGAAAACGAATGATTTCTCATCGGAGAAGCCCAAAATTCGACAGTTCACCACTTTCGGTCAAGCGAAGCAACTCTTTAGCTCTTTTGAGTCTATTGTTCTTTCTGTTGCGGTGTAACATAATGTTCCTGAGGAGGAATAAACAAGCTCATATTTTATAAACTTTGCAGTAATTTTAATTTTTAATGACACCTGCCTATATCGATTATCACTTCAAGGAAATTAACATTTTCCCCCCGGAAATTTGCTACAGTTACGTACTTTCCAACATAAGCACAAATGGATATTTGTATATATCGGGCAGGATTTAATATTTTGACCTAATTTTTTAGGTTAATTAATTTAAATATATTTACTATAAAACTCTACATATTGAGTAAAAATTGGTGATTAAAAATATTGGTGTTTTTTGATCTTCTCTGTTATCTCTGTGCGCTAGAACGTAGAATTGATAGCGAAACTGTAGGTATGCAAATATTTCCTGCTGCTATTTTGAAAACATTTTACCTTTAGAGGAGCCAGTAAAACGATACAGTCATTAGTCTGCAGCGATGATTCATTGTAATTGTTTTTAAATGCAGTCAAACCTAGCACATCGTCCAAAAGGGATAGTCCGGACCATGAAATACTAGCTCGATATTTTAGGCTTAGCTAAATTATTTCCATTCCATTCGATTTAATGATATTCAGATAAACTGTAAGCACGATGACATTTGTATTCCAACGTGTTTAGATAACTTTTTACATGTCGTGATGTAATATTTAGTTGTTTGCATTTAATAATTTATTCTGTTGCATTTTGTTATTTAATTCTGTTTCATTTTTGTTACTGAATTTAATTCTATTTCGTTTTTGTTTTCCTTTTACAGATAGTCACCTGGTGCGCAAAGCACCACCATCCTATTCAGATGGCGTTTACGCTATGGCCGGCTCCAATCGGCCATCTACACGGCGACTAAGTCGTCTGTTTATGCGCGGCCGTGATGGTCTCGGTTCGAAATACAATCGTACGGGGCTGTTGGCATTTTTCGGCCAGGTCGTGGCCAATGAAATTGTTATGGCCTCCGAGTCGGGCTGTCCCATTGAAATGCATCGCATTGAAATCGAGAAATGTGATGAAATGTACGACAAGGAGTGTCGCGGGGATAAATACATACCATTTCACAGAGCTGCTTATGATCGGAATACGGGTCAAAGTCCAAATGCCCCAAGAGAGCAAATCAATCAAATGACTGCCTGGATAGATGGCAGTTTTATTTACAGTACCTCAGAGGCTTGGTTGAATGCAATGCGATCCTTTCACAATGGCACACTGCTGACGGATAAGAGTGGTAAACTGCCAGTGAGGAATACCATGAGAGTGCCACTGTTTAACAACCCCGTGCCGAGTGTCATGAAAATGTTGAGTCCTGAACGTTTATTCTGTGAGTAGGGAGATTATATTCAAGAAAGCATTTTATTTCTTCTTTCTTTATTTTAGTACTCGGCGATCCTCGCACAAATCAAAATCCCGCTGTACTTGCCTTTGCCATACTTTTCCTACGTTGGCACAATACCTTGGCGCAGCGCATCAAACGTGCTCACTCCGATTGGTCCGATGAGGAGATCTTTCAGCGAGCTCGACGCACTGTCATTGCCAGTTTGCAAAATGTAATTTTGTATGAATATTTGCCAGCCTTTTTGGGTTCCGAATTGAGACCCTATCAAGGTTACAATCGTGACATGCATCCCGGTATTGGTCATATATTCCAAGCTGCTGCTTTCCGTTTTGGCCACACAATGATACCGCCGGGAATATATAGACGAGATTCACAGTGTAACTACAAGAAAACACCAATGGGTTATCCGGCAATACGTTTATGTTCCACATGGTGGGATTCAAGTGTAAGTGTTGATTTTATTTTGAATATTCCAAAAATTCTTTGTTTTAATTTACATCAGATTTTAGGGTTAGAATACATAAAGTTTTTTTTTTTTTTTTTTAACTGACTTAAGGCTGGAAATACATAAAGAGCATATTTGGCTGGCTTAAGTCATCGGCTGGCTTCTTCGTAAATGAACAAAGGAGTTTTAGGTTGACTTAGTTCCTTTGGCCCTAGGCTCTTTTGTTCATTTCCAAAGAAGCCAAATAAGCGCTTTATATATTCCCACCATTAGGCTGGAAATACATAAAGAGCATATTTGGCTGGCTTAAGTCATCGGCTGGCTTCTTCGTAGATGAACAAAGGAGTTTTAGGTTGACTTAGTTCGATTTTGGCCCTCTGTTCATTTCCGAAGAAGCCAGCCGATGACTTAAGCCGGCCAGATAAGCGCTTTATGTATTTCCAGCTTTATGTATTTCCAGCTTAATTCTTCGGCTGGCTTCTTTGTAAAAGAAAATAGGAGCGTAGGGTGTGCAAGTATAATTAATGGGACGAAATCCTTAATATTTTGAGTAATATTTTGCAAGATTTAATTGTTGGCTTTGAATTTGATCTAGAGCTTCGAATTACTTCAAAAATCATTGGTTTAAAATGGATTTTTTGGTTTTATCCCTATGAACGGTCGTATCTTCTATATTTAAGTACTTTTAATTCGTATTTTAGAAGATTGTCCATATGGCTCTCGTTTCGAGGGCCTTCAACCCATTTTCATGTAATCCAAAACTCCATATCAAATCTTGCGAAGTATTACAAAGGGGTAGCATGAATTTAAAGCTCTACATTAAACCTTGCGGAATATAGCTTAAACCATTGAATCCATTTGTATATAGTTAAGACTATTTGTTACAACTCGAAATATTGGTTCTAGTCCCACGACTTATAATATCGATCTTCCTCTCTTACCGAGCTGAGTCGATCTAGCTATGTGTTTCAGTATGTCCATATTAATTTATAATCACGCTACAGGTCGCAATTATGGTTTGATTCGCACGATTTTTTTACATACACTTAGAGTTAGGGTCAGAGTAGAAGTCTGTTGTTGGAGGAGATGATCGCCAAATATTAAAGGGATGAAATGGACCGAACTCTATTTTTTACTGATTTCGCAGTATAGGCCTATCGAAGCGTAATTTTGCAGGGGATTGAAGTAAGGACAGGACAGAAGCCTACCATTTTGGATGGTGATAGTATTTAGAGGTTAAAATGGACAATAATTTTTGTATGAACAATTCCAAAACTTCCACTTTCCGACGAAAAAATGCGACATCTGACCTTTAAATTGAGGTGTATTTCGTAGTTATATACAGGGTGAGATAAAAAAAACTGCAACAAATTCAAACGCCATAATTTTATTTTAAATTTTATTGAATTAAAGCAATTAAATGTCGGAAATAGCATCAAATTTTAGAATAAGTTTAGATTTGTTCAAATTGGCCACCTTTGGCACGAATTATGGCCTTCAAACGGCCAATGAAACCGTCACACGCTGCCCGAATGTTGCTCTGCGATATTTTGGCCCATTCCCGCGAAGCGCTTGCTTGAGGTGATCAACACTTTGGTATTTTTTAGTGCCAACCTGCTTTGCAAAATACTCCAGACACAATAGTCCAACGGATTGGTATCTGGAGATTTTAGTGGCCATTGTGCGCTGGAAATGCAGCGAAGAACCTCATTTTGTGTTGCGTGCTGGGAACCTCTTGAGTGGCGTGTGCTGTGTGCGATGGTGCTGAGTCCTGTTGGAATATCCAAGGTCTGCGGCCAAAATGTTTGCGTGCCCGAGGCTTAAATCCACCCTCCTGAATATTTTCGCGATAATATTCGACATTTATTCTGATGCAACGGTCCATTGATACGAGCGGAGATCGTCCATCTGCTGTTATGGCAGCCCACAAAATCATCACCATGGCCGGCGCTTTAATTCTGGTGGCCAATAGAAGGAGCACTTTTTCAGCTGACCTCTTCGGCAAGTGAAAACCCAATTTAGCAGTTCACCACTTTCTGCCAAGCGAAGCAACTCTTTAGCTCTTTTAGGGTGAAAATACATAAAGCGCATATTTGGCTGGCTTAAGTCATCGGCTGGCTTCTTCGTAGATGAGCAAAGGAGTTTTTGGTTGACTTAGTTCGACTTTGGCCCTAGGCTCCTTTGTATATTTCCGAAGAAGCCAGCCGATGACTTAAGCCAGCCAGATAAGCACGTTATGTATTCCCACCTTTAAGTCTTTTTTCTTTTTGGCTTTACCCCGAGCTCATTTTTTTATTTTTGCCGAATGGAATATTGCGATGCGGGGTTCGATCAAGTCGCTTCTTTATGTTTTCGCTTCTTTATTTTTCGAACCATTTCTGCTGATGTTGCTATTTTCCACCTACCAGTATCACGGTAACGAGCGATGGTACGAGACACAAAAGATTTATTCACATTTAAATGCTGGAGTGCTCTAACGATAGTCGCTTGTGGTTTTCCAACCAAATATAAAGAAATCACTCTATCGCGCTTGAATTCCATCACGAATGACTTTTTTTCTGGAAAATTCTCACCAAAATTCTTTTGTACACTTGTAAACAATGTAATGAGCTGTCACTGGAATAATTTTAATTTGGGCTGATTCGAATGATATATATGATATATATCAAAATCTGATCCGATGTCGATAAAAATTGACAGAGATATTTCTGGACTGTATTTAATATCTGGTACAAATCGGATGAAACATATATATAGGAGCTATAGCAATATTTGAACCCATTTTCTCCAAATTTGATGTACTTGCTTCTAATCTGAATTCGGTCGGATGTGTCAAAATTCAGGTCATTGTTTGTAAAATTTAATCTCAAAAGGAAAATAAATGCTACCTGCATTTTGTTCACAAAAATACATGGACGTCTGTCCAGACGGACTCAGTGATTCTTTAAAGATCCTCAAAAGTATCTATGAGTCTATCTCGCTTCCTTATCCGTGTTATAAACTAAGACATAATACCCTTACCACTATGTGTTAATTACGACCTGTGCCGTTATTACAATTTAACATGGACAGACCCATATACATATGTAGATCGACTCAGCTCGGCGAAATAGGAACTTCCATATATATTATTCTTTGTTCAACACCAATATTTCGAGGTGTTACATAATTTTTGGCCCAATCAAACTTATAATACACCCCGAACACATGTTTACCTGAATTTATTTTTGGTTTTAAAGGATCTCACCCCACTGTAAGACGAGACACCGGGAGCAAACGAATCGACAGGAGCGAAGTAGTCGCAAAAAGCGAACTTATGGCCAAAGGCTGTTGTAAATTCGTTACAATTTGACACGACTCTGGTCAACATCAAGTGCCTTCTCTTGTAGAAGTCATGTTCATTAGGAATTGCTTAAATCAAATCATGAAAACCAATGACAACAAAGCTTCTTTATTAATAATCTACCATAGCATATTTTTAATAATTCTTTCTCGAATTTTATTTCCAGGACTTCCTGACAGACACAACCATAGAAGAGATCCTTATGGGTCTGTCCTCACAAATTTCGGAACGTGAAGATCCCGTATTGTGTTCTGATGTACGAGATAAACTCTTTGGTCCCATGGAATTTACACGACGCGATTTAGGAGCTTTGAACATCATGCGTGGCCGTGACAATGGTCTACCGGATTACAATAGTGCACGCGAAGCTTTTGGCTTACCACGTCGTAATAGCTGGACCGAAATTAATCCAGAGCTATTTGAAAAACAGCCGGAACTCTTGGAAATGTTAATCTCTGCATACAATGATCAACTGGACGACGTGGATGTCTATGTTGGTGGTATGTTGGAGTCGTATGGACAACCGGGTGAACTATTCACAGCGGTGATAAAAGAACAATTTGAACGTTTACGTGATGCAGATCGTTTCTGGTTTGAGAATGATCAAAATGGTATCTTTACCAGGGAAGAAATTGAAGAGATCCGTAAGATTACTATGTATGACATTATTGTGAATAGCACGGATATCGGTGAGGATGATATCCAGAGAAATGTCTTCCATTGGCAAGAGGGTGATCCATGTCCCCAGCCAATGCAATTGAATGCCACCGAACTTGAACCCTGCACCTATCTCGAAGGATTCGATTATTTCTCCGGTTCGGAGTTGATGTTCATTTATGTTTGTGTGTTTTTGGGCTTTGTTCCGATTCTTTGTGCCGGAGCTGGATATTGTGTTGTAAAGCTGCAGAACAGCAAGCGGAGGAAACTGAAAATACGCCAAGAGGCATTGAGAGCTCCTCAACACAAGGGATCAGTGGATAAGATGTTAGCCCGTGAATGGCTTCATGCCAATCACAAACGATTGGTAACGGTGAAATTTGGCCCTGAAGCTGCGATTTACACGGTGGATCGCAAAGGGGAGAAGTTGCGAACATTTAGTTTGAAATCTGTTGATGTGGTCAATGTGGAGGAATCGGCTCACAACCACATTAAAAAGAAACCCTATATTCTTCTAAGAGTTCCCAATGATCACGATTTGGTGTTGGAACTAGAATCGTATGGAGCCAGACGGAAGTTCGTAAAGAAACTGGAAGACTTCCTGATTTTACATAAAAAAGAAATGACTTTGGTCGAAGTGAATCGCGATGTTATGTTGGCCAGTGCCGAGACCCGTGAGAGAAGACAAAAACGTTTGGAATATTTCTTCCGTGAGGCTTATGCCTTAACATTTGGCCTAAGACCTGGAGAACGACGCCGCCGATCTGATGCCTCCTCGGATGGTGAAGTTATGACCGTAATGCGTACATCACTTTCCAAAGCAGAATTTGCCGCCGCCCTTGGCATGAAACCCAACGACATGTTTGTGCGTAAAATGTTCAACATCGTCGATAAGGATCAAGATGGTCGCATTAGTTTCCAAGAATTTCTGGAGACGGTTGTTCTGTTCTCACGTGGCAAAACCGATGATAAGTTACGCATTATTTTCGACATGTGCGATAATGATCGCAACGGTGTCATCGATAAGGGCGAACTAAGCGAAATGATGCGATCCCTGGTGGAAATTGCCCGAACCACTAGCCTGGGAGATGATCAAGTCACTGAGTTAATTGATGGTATGTTCCAGGACGTTGGTTTGGAGCACAAAAATCATCTCACCTATCAAGATTTCAAACTGATGATGAAGGAATACAAGGGAGATTTTGTTGCCATCGGTTTGGATTGTAAGGGTGCTAAACAGAACTTTTTAGATACATCGACAAATGTGGCGCGTATGACATCGTTTAATATTGAGCCAATGCAGGAGAGGCCACGTCATTGGATGCAAGAGAAATGGGATAGTTATATAACATTCTTGGAAGAAAATCGCCAGAATATATTCTATCTATTTCTGTTCTATGTTATAACCATAGTTCTATTTGTGGAGAGGTTTATTCGTAAGTAGACAACTGGAGATATTTTAAGAGGGCAGATGTGTATAAATCTATATTTCAGATTATTCATTCATGGCCGAACACACGGATTTGAGACACATCATGGGTGTTGGTATTGCCATCACAAGAGGATCTGCCGCTTCGCTGTCATTTTGTTATTCGCTGCTTTTACTTACCATGGCCAGGTGGGTTTTTTTTTCTTAATTTTTTATCCATTATTTAAAGGGTTCCTATTGTGGGTTGACCCTTAGTTTTTTCGAAGGTAACTTCCATTACAACGAGAATGATGCGTCCAAAAGGGTTTCAAATCTACAGAAACGTAACCTTAAATTCTAATGATGTAGTGTCTCGTATTGACCGCCTCGCCCGTACAAGGCCTTTGCTTGCCAGTGGGATGTTTTAAAATTTTAATAAGGTGAATGGTACATTTTCGATCCTAAAGTAAAGCCATATATCTTCTGAATTAACATGGCAATTGACTAGATGCGGGTCTTGTGTAGGCCTGCTCTTCATGCTAAACAGCTACTCTGCACATTATCATCAAATCACATCTTGAACATATTTCTTTAAGATATTTTCAAAGACCTGTTCTAGATGAGATTTGATATAAATAATTTTCAAGATATCTGGCATGGCATTTTTAAAGAGTTGTTGGATTTTTTTAAGAAACCTCTTATAAGCATGGATTTTATAAAATATTTTTTAAAAGACCTATAATAGACATGAATTTCATAAAAAGTATTTTGAAGGGTATTTTTCAAGACGAAGGTTTAGTAAAAATATTTTTCAAGGGAACTATAATAGGCACGAATTTCATAAAAATATTTTCCAAGGGGCCTGTTATTGGCGTGAATTTTCTAAAATATATTTTTCAGAGACCTGTTATTGGCGTGAAGCTTAAATAATATTATTCAAGGGACAAGTTATATATACACATTTGAGTGAACTTTAACGGCTGTGGAACTATTAAAACTATTATAATTCTGGTCCTTAGCCTCTAGATTGTTCAGTTCGTACACGCCCAGCGAGAGAGTTGTCCTTAGTCTCTATATTGTTCAGTTCGTACATGCCCAGCGAGAGAGTTGTATCAATCATGAGATGGTGGTGATACACCCTACGGTAAAACCTAGGCATGTTCTGACTGACCTATGGGGAAAAACTATTTCTCAACTAAATGGTCCATTTCATATTCCATTTTGAATCTCAAAAACTACAGTGTCCGCCACATATATATTTTTATACTTTCCACCATACATAGTATGGAGGATATATAAAGTTCGTCATTCCGTTTGTAACTCATCGAAATAATAATTTTAGACCTAACAACTTATATATATTCATCTGTTGTAATCACGCTAGTGTCAAAACGAATTAAGGAAGGACACTAAATGCATATAGGAAGCTAAAATTTTTTACAGATCAGTATTTTGCCTGTAGGCAGATAAAAACTGTGTGTGTGTGTGTGTGTACACTTATCTTTGATGGCACCCTACAACGGTATCAAATCGCAGCTCGGCGGTTGATAATTCGATCTTCAAAAACGGAACGAAAAACATCGCGTGTAGTTTTGGCTTGTAGTGTCATCCTATTGAAACCAGGCGTTGCAATGTCTCCCCTTTCAATTTTTGTGAACAAACATTAGTTCAAAATGGTCGGATAACGTAACGATCACTCTTTGTCAATTATGTCTCTAGATCAAAATACGCCACACAGTGATTCGTATAGGTGCATCGCCTTTTAAGAACATGTGTGCGGGATTTTTGGGTCCCAAAACAACAATTTTGCTTATTTACATATGAAGCAGACAGTGCTTCCCTTCTTCCAAAATCCGTATGCAATTTTTGCACACAACCGGCAACATTACCATGATTTTCAAAGTAGTATCGCAATGTTTCCAAGCGTTGTTCAAGCATATATACAACCATATTCATTCAGCGCAAGGATATAACTGATTATCGCTCAAATCAGACAAGATCAAAGTGTTACCACACAGGAAATAAGCACTAGATTAAAAAGAAAATGTTATATGGTGGACCCTGTAGTATACGACCATATTTTTAGCCCTATGATTGATATCGGCAGAAGGACATGTGTAAATAGTCTTAGAGTTGTACGCTTATTATTAAAATATATATATATACTCTGCTGAGTCTTAAAGAAACTAGGTATACCTTTCACGATTTAGTGGAGAGTATAGATCTATGTGATTAAAGAATGAACCAGATACCATCTCTATAAGTATATATATCGTCAGGAGAGTGGGAAAAGGTTCGACAATTCCGAGGACATCCACCTTAGGTCAATCTAAGGGTCTTAGACTTCGTTAGTGATCAGTCAACGTTATAAACTTGGCCTATTACAAAAGTCTTCGCTACTGACTGATATCACAGCCTTATGACACAATTTTGTTGCCATCTTCCAGTCTTTGGAACATATCTTGAATACTAGCGAAAGGTTAAGGACTTTAGTAAGGAACTCGACTGTCCCAAGTATTTGGACCACTTACGTTGACAAAACATAATACATCAGAGGAGCGTATGTTGACTTAGTAATCATAGTTACCCTAAAGAACTTTTACGAAAAAGCCACCCAATGACTTATGCCAGAGAAGAATCATCTTATGTATTCTCAAACTTATCACTTCAGAAGATTTTCAACATAATCCATCGCAAACTGTGATTTTACTTTTTCGACAGGATACGATGAAGATGAGGTATTACTCCGCGCTTCATTCTTTCACTGTTGCTTAGGTCGTATCGTCATTCTTGTGAGTATTCAAGAGTGACTTTGTCATTTCCTCAATGCTTATGCTTTGTAACTAGTTGCAACAACTCAATACCATTTTCTCTTATTTTCTGGAATTGTTTGTGTTGGGCCGCAAAAGCTAACCTGATAGTTATCTTGTTGCGCTGCATTGATGGGAAGTTCGTTTTCACTTCCTCTATTAGAACAGCTAGTGAATAGCGAGCGACCAAAAGGATTGAAAAATATTATAATGATACAAATGAAAGGCATCTAAGTTTGGCCGGACCGAACTTTTAATACCCTCCACCATTCGGAAAGAAATTGAAAAATTTCAAGAAGATTTCGTCAAAAAAAGAACTGCTTCAATAAATAACGTTATGTGGGGGCTATACCAAGACTGGGATCTGCATAAGTAATTTTTGTCATAGACTGTAATACCGATTCCAAACTTTGAATACGAAATTTTAATCAATTCCGGTGGATAGGGTCGCCAATATCAACAAAATACCGAATAAAGGGAGGGAAGGTTATATTTGGGCTATACAAAGAGGTGGTTCTGCATAAACAATTTTCTGTCATAGGTTGCAGTACAAATTATAAACTTCAAATACGAAATTTAAAACAATTTTGTTAAATACTGTCGCTAAAATCATCAAAATACCGAATATTTTGAGGTATCGTTATATGGGGTCTATACAAAAATGTGGACCGACATGTCCCACTTAATCTATATATAAATTGTAATATATAAACCGCTTTCTTCCATCTCATTTCAGAAACCTTATAACCAAATTAAAGGAATTCCCCATTCAGCAATATATACCATTGGACTCACATATTCAGTTTCATAAAATTGCTGCCTGCACTGCCCTATTCTTCTCCGTACTGCATACAGTGGGACACATAGTAAACTTCTATCACGTCTCAACACAGTCGCATGAAAATCTCAAGTGTTTGACGCGGGAAGTACACTTTGCCTCAGACTATAAGCCAGACATAACATTTTGGTTATTCCAAACTGTGACGGGTAAGCAAAATAGTACACAAAACAACGACATACCATCTCTAACCTTACTTTTACGTTTTCTAGGAACCACCGGAGTACTGTTGTTCATTATAATGTGCATTATATTTGTCTTTGCCCATCCGACAATACGTAAAAAGGCCTATAAGTTCTTTTGGAACATGCACACACTCTATATTGGTTTGTATTTGCTGAGTTTGATACACGGCCTGGCAAGACTTACTGGGCCGCCTAGATTCTGGATGTTTTTCCTGGGACCTGGTATTATATATACCCTGGACAAAATTGTTTCACTACGCACCAAGTATATGGCCCTGGATGTTATAGAAACCGAGTTGCTGCCTTCCGATGTTATCAAGATCAAATTCTATCGCCCACCCAACCTAAAATATCTTTCCGGCCAATGGGTACGCCTATCCTGTACGGCCTTTCGGCCACATGAAATGCACAGTTTTACATTGACCTCAGCGCCCCACGAAAATTTTCTCAGTTGTCATATTAAAGCTCAAGGTCCATGGACATGGAAGCTGCGTAACTATTTTGATCCTTGCAATTACAATGCCGAAGATCAGCCGAAAATTCGCATTGAAGGACCCTTTGGCGGTGGTAATCAAGATTGGTATAAATTCGAAGTGGCCGTAATGGTTGGCGGTGGTATTGGTGTAACGCCATATGCTTCAATACTCAATGATTTGGTATTTGGTACGAGCACGAATCGTTATTCGGGAGTGGCATGTAAAAAGGTGTATTTCCTATGGATTTGTCCCTCGCACAAACACTTTGAGTGGTTCATTGATGTGTTGCGAGATGTCGAAAAGAAGGATGTCACCAATGTTTTGGAGATACATATTTTCATAACGCAATTTTTCCACAAATTTGATTTGAGAACAACAATGCTGGTGAGTTTTGGAAATCATTTTTCAGATGAAGATGTGAAAGTAGAGATATAATGCATATCATATAGTAGTAAGATGGTTATAGTTTCTGTTGAAAAAATACCTGCTGAAGATATTTTATTTATAGCAAAAAAATCAGAAGGCTTTATAAAAGACTTTCAGAGGAGAGAGACTTCTTTGAAGAAAAACACGTTCACAGTTCAAATTTTCTTTTCATTTAAGCTTTTCTATTCACTTGACACGTCAATAGCTAGAAATTCCACAAAACCCTCTATAGACGAAAGGTCGTTAGGCCTTCTGTAGAAAAAAAAAACAAGTAAAAAAGCTGTAAGTTGGTCCGGGTCGGGCCGAACTTTGAATACCCTCCACCATTTGGAACGAATTGGGCAATTTTCAAAAATATTAAATCCGATAAAAATTCAGTTAAAATCTTAAAAATACCAAATGTAGACTTTATATTAGGGTCTATACGACGACGTAGACCTGCATAGGCAACTTTTGTCATAAGCCATAACAATATTCAAATGCGAAACTTAAAATTACCGAATGTAGCCGTTATATTAGGGTCTATATGAGACGTAGACCTGCAGAGGCAACATTTGTCATAAGCCATAACAATATTCAAATGTAAAACTTGAAAAAAAATTCGGTGAATAATGTCGCTAAAATCATCAAAATACCAAATATCGGGAGGTACCGTTATATGGGGGCTATACGAAGACGTGGACCTGTACAGACAATTTTCTGTCTTAGGCTGTAGTATCTATTACGAACTTCAACTACCAAATTTGAAACAATCCCGGTGAATAATGTCTCTAAAATCAGCAAAATGCCGAATATCGGGAGGTGCTGTTATTTGGGGGCTATACGAAGACGTTTACCTGCACGAACAATTTTCTATCTTAGGCTGTAGTATCCAAGATGCCAAAAATAGGGAGGTACCATTATATGGGGCTATACGAAGGCGTAGACCTACGTGGTCCATTTTTAATATCAAAAGCCCTGCAGATTTAATATACATTTGAGTAAAATTTTATCAACCTACTACATTTCGTTCGGAAGCTATAGTGGTTTCAACAGACGGACAGACGGATGGACATCGCTAAATCGACATAGAATTTTATGCTGGCCAAGAATATATATACTTTGTGGGGTCCAGAATGTATGTTTCAAGGTGTTATAAACCGAATGACAAACTTAATATACCCTCCATACAATGGTGGAGGGTATAAAAAGTCACAGTTCTTATATAAGGAGAAGACCTCCCGCAGGTCTTCTATATACTGAGCTCTTTCCACTGGTCTTTTGCGGATCTTCTATAGATGGAGGAGGTTTTCTAAAAGTTTTTTTCCAGACCTTATATATCCAGGCATCTTTCACAGTTATTCTGTAGAGATAAGACTTTTTACGCAGGTTCTATGGGCAAAATACCTTTCAAAAAATGCTATAGGCAGGTCTTCCATTTACATAAGAAATATTGAGGAAGTTTACAATAAATAGAATGCATTTCAAAGTTCTTCTATAGATCGAAACCCCTTCACACGTTTTCTATAGACAGAAAGCTTTAACAGGTCTTCTATATACAGAAGAATTTCCATAGGTCTGCCATAGACTTTTCAATGGTCTTCTGCAGACAGAAGACAACACTTGTATCCTTTTCAACTTCTGTAGAGAGAAGCCATTTCGAAGATCCCCTGCAATACCATAATTTGTATATGCCATCTTAAAATTTAAAGGTTTTTTAGAGTTCTAACCCTGCAAGACCCTGCAAGAATATAAAATTGCGCATGTCTTTTAATAATATGGCGATCTCTGGTTGATTTTTGTTATATGTCTCCCATATAAAACTCATATACTTCTTGTATTTAATTTTATTAATTTCTCTTACATAAATCCTCCACAGGAATTGTCTAGATAAAATACCTCTCACAGGTCTTTCACAGATTTTACTTATTTCAGATGTATTTTATTCAGTCATATTCTAGTCTATCCATATCCCATCTCCTTGCTACCTCAGGATGATTTCTTGTTAAATGTCTCCCATAAGAAACATTTAAAACCCTTATACTTGTGATATTTAATTTTATTTATTTTTTATTTCTTTCAGTACATCTGTGAGAATCACTTCCAACGTCTCTCGAAAACTTCAATATTTACGGGTCTCAAGGCTGTCAATCATTTCGGGCGTCCAGATATGTCAAGTTTCTTGAAATTTGTACAAAAGAAGCATTCCTATGTAAGTTATACTCAGAACTATAAAATTATACTGCAGTACTTATCCTCCCCCTCTTTAAATTTATATTTGTAGGTTTCAAAAATAGGCGTATTCTCCTGTGGTCCCAGGCCACTAACCAAAAGTGTTATGTCCGCATGTGATGAAGTTAATAAGACACGAAAACTACCCTATTTCATACATCATTTCGAAAATTTCGGTTAAACTACATATCTACTCTGGCTATCCGAATAACAAAGCACTTCCATTTTTTTATAATTTAAATTTGAATATAAAACCAGCCCACTGTCATCATACATTTTTTATAAAATTACATTTAACTATTTAAAGCATAAATGAAGGTCTTATCTGTATGTAAATATGTATGTGAATTGTAATCGCAGTACACATGAATGTATGTATGTAGTATGTGTGTGTTTTACTCCCCCATCTTATGTGTTATGTAAAATATATTTTTTTTAGTCAAATTGAAAGAAACATTCGTTCATCATTGAGAAAGTAAGATCTTGTTTTTATTGAATCGAAGCATATAAATCAAAACCTAATGCAATTAATTAGTTCATGTATTTATTTTTTGTGTATTAATATTTTTTATATAATAAAATATTTTATTAGAAATAATTACCTAAATGTCTCGTTCTGTTGTCAGTGTTTCGCAACAACAAAAAATGTTCTTTAGAATTTATTTATTTCTATTATTTTAAATAAACCATAAGTCAAATAAATGTTTTCTTTTATTATTTTTTTAGAGATTTGGAAATATTATTAACAGGAAGGACGAAAAAATTACCACATATACCAGCGCTCTAGAATTTTTTTCTTGTCACGAACAGAGAGGCTCAATAAGAGTTAACTTTTTTGTAATTCTTTAAAATATCAAAAACATGTACTCTGATGAGATTAAGATCAGGAGCTGGCTAGACACCATCAGTTTCATCTTTAAAGATAGAAGTCTAAGAAGTTATATATAAAAAGATTTCGGATTTCAGAATGAACAAGTTAAAAAGTAGTAAGTTCGGACGGGCCGAACTTTGAATACCCTCCACCATTTGGAACGAATTTGGAAATAATAAAAAAATAAAATCCGTTAAAAATTCTGTTAAAATCTTGAAAATACCGAATATAGCCGTTATATTAGGGTCTATACGACGTGGACCTACATAGGCATTGTTTGTTATAAGCCATTACCATATTCAAGTTCGAAACTTGAAATAAACGATGAATAATGTAGCTAAACTCATCAAAATATCGTATATAGGGAGGTACCGTTATATCGAAGCTATACGAAGACCTGGACCTGCATAGAGAATTTTCTGTCACAGGCTGTAGCAACCATTACGAACTTCAAATACGATATCTCAAACAACTTCTGTGAGTATTGTACCAAAAATCGTTAAAATACCGAATATAGGGAGATACTAATATATATGGCCTATACGAAGACCTGGACCTGTATAGACAATTTTCTGTCACAAACTGTAGTTCCCATTACGAACTCTAAATACGTAATTTGAAACTATTCCTGTGAATAATGATGCTAAAATCTTAAAAATACCAAATATTGAGAGATACCGTTATAGGGGGGCTATACGAAGACGTGATCCTGCACAGACAATTTTCTTTTATAAGCTGTAGTATGCATTACAAACTTCAAATGCCAAATTTGAAACAATTCCGATTAATAATGTCGCTAAAATCATCAAAATACCGAATATAGGGAGGCTATACGAAGACGTGGACCGCACAGACAATACGACATCTCAACAACTTCTGTGAGTATTGTACCTAAAATCGTCAAAATACTAATATAATATGTAGGGCCTATACGAAAACCTGGACCTGCATAGACAATTTTCTGTCACAAACTGTAGTTCCCATTACGAACTCTAAATGCGTAATTTGACTATTCCCGTGAATAAGGTCGCTAAAATCTTCAAAATACCGAACATCGGGAGGTACCCTGATCGGGGGATCAGCGTGATTACAACAGACAGACAGAAGGTCATCGCTAAATCGACTTTATTATATAATTTTACGCTGATCAAGAATATATATACTTTGTTGGGTCTGACATGAGTATTTCGAGGAGTTACAAATGGAATGACAAAGTTTTTCTACTAACGCCGTATGGCCAGTTAAGCAATAAAAGTTGGCCTAAACCCAGCACGGTTTTTCAAATGACATCTTCTTCTAGAGAGTTTGTTTGAAGTCGCTGACATAATTGCTTTTTGGTGGTTTAATAGTCCCATGAGTCGGAGCCAATTAATCAGCCATCACATTCCCATTATGTTGCTATGTCCTGGAACCCAACAAAGCTCAATGCATTCACATGACTTGATAGCTTTTAGGGCCGCCTGACTATCGACATATACTATTAAGCGGTTCTGTTAAGCTATTGCAGAGTTATTTTACAATTTTGGCTGAATCTCCGCCTGGAACCCGTTGCAATTGTCATTAAGATTAAATGATTACAGGACAGAATGTCCAGGCCGCCCAGATGAGGCCACCATCCCAGGCATCCCAATCAGTTACAGTAACATCAATTTAATTTAAGTCAAAAAAGGCGGACATGTAATCACTAATTCTATTATCTTCGCTTACGTTATTCTGACTTGTTGGTATGTCAAGGATTCATCCACGCCCTGGATTAAATCGCATGCCAACAAACGAATCACCCACAGGTCAGAACAGGTAAGATCACTGACACGTACGACTTGTGGTCAATCCCTCCAGCTCTTCCCTATGGCGTTCCTACATGGATGGAGCGCAATGAGACCCTTTTCGTAAGCTCCCCGATATTCTCGTTCCAGTTAAAATGTTGGTCCAAGATTGCTTCGTGGTATTTAGTGCACAAAGAAAAGTTCAGTGTAACTCCATCCAGTATTTCGAGTTTGTAGCTTTATCAGTATACATAATACCAAATGGTACCTTTTTAGAAGATTAGTGACATTTTAGAACATTTCCCAAAATTGTAGTTCGAATTTCCAATAACCCGTTGCTGCATCTATCATGCACTCCATCAGTTACTCTCATTTCAAATTCCAGCTTCATCGGTACATCACAATTCCAATTTGTACTAAATTTAGTACCATATTTACGTACAAATAAGTATGTACTTTTAAAACTTTCTGCATAACCCAATCCCACTCTCCAACAGTAATCTTAATTCCAAATGTCAGGATTCCAACTCTATCAGTTCGCCTAATTTGGTAGATTTTAGTACAAATTTCCAAAACAATCCATATCATGCCACCCAATGGAAATCTTAATTTCAAATTTCAGGATTCCAACACCACCGGTTCACCCAAAATGTATATTGCACCAAATTTAGTACCATGTAGTATACATAAGTACGAATTTCCAAAACTACCTACATTCCGAAAACTTCCTCCATATTCTTATCCTACACTCCGCCATCAAAGTTAATTTCAAATTTCTGAATTCCAGCTCCATCTCGGAGATTGGGAATTTTCAGAGCCGCCAGACTATTGACATATGCAGTTGCCGCACCGACAAATTTTTAAAATCAGATGACCAGTAAATCTATGGCTTTTTTCAGCTGGAAAACACGGTAATCTTCCTCTGTGAAAGTCTTTTTTCTGAAAAAGGATGTCCTTCAAAATCACCAGGTTTTTTGAATGATTTCTATGGGAGCTTTGTATTCTGCTGATTTTCAGAAAATCTGGTTCTCTTCGATTATATAGAACACAGATACATGTGAGTAGAAAATTGCTGATGAAAAGATATAAGGAATTTTGGGTTTCTCAAAATATAATGTCCCTGGAACTCGTATTGCGTGAAGATGAATGAACCAAGAATCAATCACGTAAACGTTAAATGTTGCTAATTTTATTATCAAACAATGCTAAAAGTATGTACTCTATATTTCTAAATACTTAACTACTTTGAATTTAACAAAAAATTTACTTGGAAATTTTAGGGAAAATCGTTAACAATGTATACGAATGTATGCAATTACGAACTAATTCATAAACGAGAAATATCCAACGACCCATATGTTTCGGAGTATTTCGTAGAGCTGTAAAATTTAGAAACATCACAATGGCAGTGGCCGGTAGACGTTTGTAAAGGCTGCCGTTGTTGTTTTTGTAACTGAAAAAATATAAATTCGATATTAATGGAGATTAATAAAGTATCTCATTGTTTATACTTATGTAGCAGGGGACATGATAATGCAACGCCTAACAAATATCCAAAATCACGAAATAGTACATAAATGGGGCCAGCCTCATGACGCATCAATGTCACCTCCGAACACCACTTGAAAGCCTGAAAGTGAAAACGAAAAAAAATAACAAATTACCTAACAAAGTGAATCTATTTTCCTAGCTGAGGACAAGAAACACGGAAAAAATAAATAAATATAAATAAAATTTATCATACAACTCACCATTCTCACTGACCAATGCGGATCCATATCCACCAGATATATCATAGCAAAGTATACTGCCGCAGGTAACATTCCCAGCACCATCACCCACACAACAGTACTCCATTTATGCAATTTCAACAACAGCGCTGAATATCGATTAAAAAAATGAACGCCAAGCAAAGCAAATAAGCTACCACCAATGCATTGATGCAGGAATTCCGTAAGGAAATATAAACGTCCAGTCCACAACAATCCCAAAGGCAGTGAAACAAACCCATATATCAAAATATACTTTTCAAAATTACTCATGTTACAGCATTTGCCCAGTTTTACCAACAGCCAATGGAACAATATAAAGGCAAAGGTGGTAAAGGTAACCGCATGACTCGAAGGAAAGCCGGCACTTGTGTCACAGGTATTTGCGTCCAAGTTAAAACCACGGAATTTGTATTTGCTTTCGAATTCACGCAGCCACCAAATTGGTCGGTACTCTGGACAAATCCTAAATAAGAAAAAAAAAAAAAAAAAAGAAATCCATTAAAGCTCTATCGTTAATAAAAATAACTACATTACCATTTAAACAGGGAAGTGACAACATTAAGGATACTAGCCGAGACTGCCAAACGTACCAACAATTTGTGACTGAATGCTCCAAACAATGGCAGCCAAGCGTCCATTACCATTTGTGGATCCAGGTAGGTATTTATGTCTCTTAGCCATTGTTCGGTAAAGCGCATTCTGCAAAACAAACCCGTTTTTTATTAATTTTTACCAACTTTTGATACACCATCTATACTTACTGCTTTTGAACATTGCGATTGAGAGTTATTTCTAATTCATATAAATGCGTCAAATTGAGCGGAAGTATATCCATTGTTTTGTGTAACACTTTGTTTTTATTTAGTAGCGGTTTTCATTACTGCAGAATATATAATTGTATGGAATGGAAAAGGAGTCCATTTTACCACCCTATAAATGTGGTCTTCGAGAGTATGCGCATTAGTTATGTTAGTGCCAAGTTATAAATTTTGTTAACAGTCAACAGGGTTGATAAAAATTTAAAGATAAAGCAGCTTTTATTGGAAATAACTCAATTCACAAATAAAATGTGCAGAACTGAAATAGAAAACCAGTAAAGAAAGTCGGGCGGGGGCCGACTTTATGATACCCTACACCACTTTGCTACTTTAGTAGAGCTCCGCATAACAATTAAACGGTTTAATAGGAGAATTCAACATACACGCTATAATTATAATCAAAATTTTAATTATATATAATTATAATTTAAAGTTCAAAGGACTATATATGCCGGAACATTTGTATCTTTTAAATTCGGACTTGTATTGCCCATTTGGTGCACAATTAATTTGAAATCGGAGAAAGATATATGGGAGCTATATCCAAGTCGGAACCGATTTCAAAAAAATTTGACAAAGATATTTCTGAGCTGTATTTGATATATTTCCCTGAATATCGTTGTTACGAAGTGCATATTACGACTGTGGGTAACGAATATAACAAATCGGATGAACAGTATATATGGGAGCTATAGCTATATCTCAACCGATCTTCACCAAATTTGACATACCAGCTTCTAGACTCAATTCGGTCGTAAGTGGCAAATTCCATCCCATTTGGACAAATATTAGACGTTTGGTGCACAATAAAAGGTAAATCGGTCGAAGTTTTATATGGAGCTATATCCAAATCTGAATCGATCTCCATAAAATTTGGCATACTTATTTTCAGGCCTAATTGTTGGTTGTATGTGCAAAATTTCATACTAATCGGGCTTATATTACACGTTTGGTGCACAATAAAAAGCAAATCGGATGAAGATGTATATGGGAGCTATATCTAAATTTTGACCGATTATCTCCAATTTCAATAGGGTTCGTCCAAACAAATGGTTTGTGCAAAATTTCATCTGGATAATGCAATAAATGCGAACTGTACTTTGTTTACAAAAAATACATGGACAGACGGACGGACATGCATAAATCGACTCAGAATGTGATTCTATGCAGATCATCAAAAGGAACTATGGGTCTATCTCGTTTCCTTTTGCCTGTTACAAACAAATGCACAAAGACATAATACCCTGACCACCTTGTGGTGTAGGGTATAAAAAGCAAGTTAGAAAATAGCATTCGGTTTTGTCGATTCATATATGCGAGATAGTCCAATACTTCCTTTTGATGATCTCCATAGTCGAGTTAAGCATGGCCGTTCGTCCATCTGTCCATGTACTTTTGTAAACAAAGTACAAGTCGCATTTATTTTCCATTAAAACGAAATTTTCCACAAATAATTTGTTTGACTCAAGGACGAATCATATTGAAATCGGCGATATTAAGTGTAAAGGTAGATATAGCTCCAATAATTATCGTCTTTCGTTTTCAATGTTATTGTCCGCCACGTGTGTAATATCCATCCAAATCCGACATAATTAAACCTTTAAGCTATTATGTCAAGTTTGAGGAAAATCTGTTAAGATATAGCTATAGCTTTCATATGCCTTTCATCCCTCAAATTCGTAATATACACGCTACAACAATGATATTAGGTACAAAATTTCAGATGCAACTCAGAAATACCTCTTCGGTTCAGATTTGGATGTAGCTCCCATATACATATATCGATATACCATATTGAATAGATTTTGGCACATACGAACGAATTAAACCTAGAAGCAAGTATGTCAAATTTGGTGAAGCCTTCTTAAAGTTATATTGTTAACTCTCCACGTGTCTTCCTTTTTTGGTCTACCTTCATAATCTGCTGGATTTTTCCCCTCATAACTGAAAAAGTTGCATTTTGTCGCACAGTGTTTTTATTCGATTTTGAATTTAAGCTAATCTACCCTCCATACTATAGAGGAGGCATGGTACAATAAGGAGGTAGAACAGCTTCGTAAAACTACAAAAATACAGCCCTGAGGCTATGCCCGCTTCCTGTCAGACTCATTCAAAATTATTTTCATTTTTCATATTTTTATTCATTTTTAAAATTAGTTAAATAGCGCGAAAAATTAATAAAATGTCTGGATTTTTCTCTCAAAAATATGATCCTAACTGTTAAATCTTTCAATTTTATGGCTATACCGGTTAATAGCTTTAATACACGAGCCGCAATTCATGTGCTTTCCAATCATTGGTTGTGAAAATATTTTTTTTTTTCATTTTTCAAAACAATAAATGCATACACAAAATTGGCAGAAGTCGGGCACACTTAGAAAAAAATTGTAATCAGCTATTAGCTCTACCTTACCTTTTTATTGTATCATGGGAGGAGGGTATAAATATACGATGGAAATTAATGTTAAGAATCATAAAAATACCGATATGATAGATCGACATATATTGTTATAGGTTAATATAATGCAAGGGCTTAATCCACAAAATAAATGTAATTTCCTTTAGTACTTTTTTCAAAAAACACGTTTTTATCTCATAAGACCTCTATTTTATTGATGCTACACAATAACTAAATAAATACATCACAGAATGTATTTAAATCGACTTACGCGAATTCATAGTATGTCGTTCTTTTCCCTCGCTTCATGTTGAACAACTCTCATGTAATATTGCCAATAACCGTATACAAAATTTTTAAAAAAAATTGGACGGAATTGATTTTGTCTCAACGACAACACAAATTGTCATTAAGTAAAAGATATACTTAATAAAAATTGATTCAAAAGTATTTGCTTTAAAAATCCGCATGTTAAATGACCACAATCTACGTTCTTTTCTCTTCTCTTTCAATGTACCATACCGTTCAAGTTTAGTGTATTACTATTTTATACAATGAAAATCAATATCGCCTCATATTGGTGTTGTTATTGGATTTAAAGCAGATTTAAGAAAGTAAAACGTTCTTAAGCACATGTCAAAGATATAGTTCTCTAAGATTATATGGTAACTCGTCCGGCTTTTGTTTTTAGATCCGAAGAATCCGAAATAAATTTACTACCAAATATCAACTTTTTAAACCGCGACAACACTATTCCTTAAATGTATTTCTGTTTGTGTCTTCGCACTTCATGTAGAAATATTTTTAGCACATAGATTCGAAGACACTGACATGCTCTCTAAATGTATTTAAGGAAATGTGTCTTTTTATTTGCGCATATATTTTGCTGACTTCTTGTCGTTCAAATTCGATAATGGGCCGCGATAGCGTATGGTATTTATTTTAAGAGAAATATTTTAATGCAAACTTTCCATTGCCTTCTCCATCAAATATTGTCATGCCCCAAATAAACAGTTTTTTTTATAAACTCAACAAAACTAAAACATTTATTCAATTATTTTATAAAAAAAAACAAACAAAACTAATATTCTTTGGTTTGTACATTCTGCATACAAATATATATATACATTTTAGTGTTCGGAAGATCCTTTGTCACCCAACAAATATTTTAAAAATATTTTCAGGTCATCTGGGTTATTATACAATTGAAATTGTATGGGTGAATATCCAAATGCTATCAAGTGATGATTAATAAATGCACGCTCAGCGGCAATTTTATGAAGTATAGTGAAATGAGGACTCAGTCCTTGTGACGTGCTTGCAACGTCAGCATCTAATGTTGAGGTGTTACTGTCAGAATCCAAGTTAGAGCTTATTACACTATGATTGCTATGGGTGTATTGTGCGGAACCAGCACTTTCCAAGCTTTTTGTTCTAGGCGTACTATGTTTTACAGGTGGTATTAAATTCCGATGCAAACGCTTCACCTTTACACGTGGTTGAAGACAACGAATCATATACGTTTGAGGCTTTTTTATATCAATTTTTGTTTTCCAATCCCATTTTAACCTGATGGGTTGTGGCACATCTGCTTCAATATTAGTTCCTTCGGTTCGGGATTCTGCTGCTGCAGAACTGTTTTCTAATTTAAATGGCTTCGGAAATTCTTCATCATTTCGAGTTTGCCTTGATTTAGAATTAACATTAACGGGCGGTGGTCTGCGAACTCCAACATTATTTCCTGACGTTTTGGTTTTGCCTGACACACTCACAGATTGTTTCTGCGCCTTGGAATTCTTTTTATTGTTGTCATTTGTCCCGCGATTTGCATTTGATGTTTTCAAAAACTTTGGCTTTGATTTCTGCTGCATCTTATTTGCTCTATCACTTTTGCGTTCATGTCTTTTTTCGGCGTTTGTTTCAATTCTTCTTCTTTTCGGTGGTTTTTTTAAATAAACTGAATCGCTAGACGAATCCTTTTTCTAGGAAAATGAAATTTGTGAAATTTCGGGCTATAATTATAAGTAAGTTTTGTTTACCTTTTTCTTGATTTTGGCTTTCAAACTTGTGTTCGAGGTGCAATTGCCTTCAGAAGTGTCGATTTCAATTTGATGCAATAGGTCATCTTCCTGATAACTCATTGTTGAATTATCTACTGTGGTGGATTCGGACTCGCAGGAACCATCATCCATATAATGATCATCATCTAAATTGATCGAGGCATCATCTTTAATATCGGCCACGGGTACGCTTTGCAATTCAATATATTTGCATTTATCATCCTAAAATTAGAAATTTGCTACAGTTAAAAATATGACAATATGCTACGTATATGAGGGTTCACCCACAAAATCAATTTAAATAATTAATTTTATTTTCTTATTTAATATAAACTTACTAAATGTTCCTCTGTTTTGATATCGTCTGATTCCTTTAATATTCCCAAGTCTAATACTTCCTTTTCAGCTTTTACGTCTTCAAATGGGATCAGATTCTATTTAGAAAAAAAAGTAAATAATATTATTACGAAAGAAAAAAATTTGATGGAGTCGTCGGCAAACTTTTCTAGCAAAATAAGAGTTGAGGTCGCAGTATGTGCCTTTATGCCGAGTAGAATTGTAGATTCCATAAGTGCTTAACAATTACACATTATGTATGTGTTTTGGACTTCGGTGGTCTACAGATCTACCCGAAATCCTCGGACTGTTAGCATTTTATTTTCAAATTACCTTAGGGTCTTCATCAATTTTAGTAGGACTTGCACGAAGATCTATTAAATTGTCCTTCTCATGTTTAATTTCAACTTCTTGATGACTGTTTTTCTCGTCTTGGATGCATTGAAACGGATGAATGGATACCACAGATGTTATTTTCAAGTTGAAAGGGTTGTTATTCAAATCTGGACACACATTTGGTGTTGACTGTATGCTTGTAGATTCCTCGTCAACGGTTTCAGTAGTGATGTTGTCCGATATCTTTGAAAAGAAATGAGACATTGAAATTAATTTAAGAATACATTTTAAACATATTAGACCCTGAAGTTAAAAATGTCGATTGTACTTGGTTGAAAAATGAATTAATTCTTACGACAATGTGTTGGTTTTTAAGCAATGACATTTTCTATCCGATATTTCTTTGGGAATTTCCAAATTCCTCAAGATTAAAATTGTTAATCAATAATCTTTCTTTGTCATGATTTCAACCGTTTAGAATGGAAAGCCTCTTTATTATCTCATCAAATACGGAGAATAGCCTTGGGTCCAAAGATATTCTGTGTCGGCATTGATATTGCTATTAGGATGTGGTAATAAAGTCTCTATATGGTATCAAGATTGAAAAAATACTACTAAACACACATAGGCATCAATTTTTAATTATTGTTATTTATGTTTTCAAAATCGACACTTTTAGTTGTATAGTTAATTTAAGAATGTAAATACAAATATTTACCAATAAATTATCAGCATCCCTTTCTGACTTTATCACCGAATCTAGGAGGCTAATTGTATTTTGGACCTTGCATTCGAATGTTTTATTTATGTCATTTGTTACGTCGGCAAAATCATTTTCGAAACCAGTAGAAACTTTCGTTTCAATGCGATTATTTTCGTTTAAATCAGTAAGCATTTCGCCGCTAACATCTGTGCCATTTCCAATATCGAGCAAACCTCTCAATTTTTTTAAATTTTGCGAGCTTTGTAAGTCTTTTTGGATAACATTGTCATTACTGGATAACATTGTCATTGACGATATGCACTTTGTCAATGAAGACGATGACTTGAATTCTACATCATCTTTCTTAGATGGTGACGCGGCTCCATTGGATTCACATTTCTGGTCTTCGCTGGATAAGTCTTTGTGTGGTTCTTTATCAAATGTGTCATACAATTCATCTTTCTTAGATGGTGACACGGGTCCTTTTGATTCGTATTTTTGGCCTTCTTTCGTTATTGTTAAGTCTTTGTGTGGTTCCTTATCAAATGCGTCTTCCAATATATCATACAATTCATCTTTCTTAGATGGTGACACCGGTCCTTTTGATTCACATTTCTGGTCTTTGCTGGTTATTGGTAAGTCTTTGTGTGGTTCCTTATCAAATGCGTCTTCCAATATATCATCTAATTCATCAATGATATTTAGAATTTGTTTATTGGCATCGTTTTCGTTTATACTATTACCTTTAGACTCATCTGTACATTTTAGAGCACAGCTCTGTGAATAAATGTCAATGTCCTCTTCGGAACGTTTTAAAATTGACCTTTCTAAAGGACTTATTTCGCCACTGGTACTCTTAGTACAATCGGAAGGTAAATCCTTATTTTCCATTACAGTTTTATTTATAGATTTTGGCATTAGTTCATTAGATAGTGGCATCTCCTGTGGAAGTTCATTGCCTTCTACGATATCATTTACTTTAGAACGGAAAGCCGATTTTTCACCAGTCGCTAAATTGTCGTCTTTTTTCTTTATTGATTGGTTATACTTCATTTTTAATACCGTATTATTTTGTAAAGACTGATTGTACTGTATGTTCACTGGTTGATGTGGTTCTTCCATATTATCACATCTAAATGTAATTTCCATGTTTGGTTTTCCCTCCTTAAAACAAACAAACATTTCAATTACCGGGGCAGGCAGTAAAATTAGCTCTAAAATTTATACTTACTTTATGGGATATTTTGCGTGGAACCATATCTAAAGACATAACTCTTTTTCTTGCCCTATACAATTTTTGAGGAAATGCATTTTTCGTATTTGTTTTTGATTGTAGATCATTTTTTTCATTATTTTTATCTGCTTCCTGAAACGGTTATGGTGGAGAATAATTATTTTATTTGTGTAATTATTGTATTCATACTAACCATTTGTGATCTGGTAATTGTTGGCGAAGTTGACGTTTTCAGTGGGGTTTTGAGTTCTTTTGTCACCTCGAATTTCATTTTTGATAATTTTTGGTTATTTAAAGTTTCTTTGTTAATTCGCCATTTTACATTATTTTCTTCAGATGTTTCTTTAATATTGTTGTTGCAATTTGCAGGCTAAAATAAATTCGGAAAGAATAGAGGAGTTAATAAGTTAATGTCACCGTATATATTCATAAAACTACTATTTTGCTTATTACTCTTTGGAATAGATAAGTAATACTACAGAAACTTTTTATTACCTACAAATATTATCTTATTTATTTAAAACTACAGTCGATCCATGTACACGTTTCTGAATTCTATATGTCAGTCTTAATTGGTCAAAGATGTAAGAGAGGACGGGTCTTTTGATGGTATCTAAGTATTGAATGAAAATTTTATGGACGATCAACAAATTTCAACCCTTCAAGACTCCTGGTCCTGATGACATTAAACCGGCAATGTTGCAAAATGCATCTGACTCGGTGTTGGCTATAAAGAGATTTTTAAGGCTTGTCTTATGTTGTGCTTCGTACCCATTTCCTATATTCCCAAAGATGGGAAACCTAGTCACACATTACCCAAGGACTACAGACTGATAAGCCTCTCTTCCTGTCTAATGAGGAGTTTAGAAAAGTAACTGTACCTGGAAATTCGTTCAGATTTATATGTAAATATAATAAACACATCGCAGGATACCTATGTCAGGGGTCGGTCAGTAGACGCACGCAGACCAATTATCGCTAACAGTGCTAGACCTCGATACAATCTTTAAACTCTACTGCTAAACTTCCAGACACTGGATATTTTAGCTCAATTCCAGCACAATGAGTGCGCTCCGGGAAGCTGGAGAATGTCTTCACGTTGTGATCATGCACAAGGTAATAGGATTACTGACTACCACCTTCTTCGACTTCATTTACATTGATATTAATATAGCCGATAGGGATGCATGGGCTAATAGAGAACTTCCTCTGAACGGTCTGACCGTATATGCACACGGCACCAAGCTACTTCATTTAAATGGATATTAATAATATATCTGATAGAGACGGTCTCAATTGTTATTAAATCGAGAGCCACTCTGGACTGGAAGAAAGCGCTCCTTGAAACACTCGAACTCATTTAGCTTTGTTGGGTTCCAGGACATATCAATATAGTACGGAATGAAGTAACTGATGGATTAGATCAAGGCGGATCCCAGTCGGTTGCTATACCGATTGAAGAGATTGTTAAACCACCAACAACATATTACTCAGATGTTTCTCTCATTGAAAAAGCTGGAAGACGATGAGACTTGAATACCGGTTGCAGGACCCTCTAACCAGTAATCTCGAAGAGAATAACTCCCTTCTAGGACATACTGACATCAAGATGGGAGAAGACTGTTCCTAACTACTGTATACTATGTGAGGATGAAGAAGAGATAGAGAGGATTGAACATCTATTTTACCAACACGGGATATAGGTTATTTGGCTGGTGGGAGTGAGAAACTCTAACATTCTTCTTAGACATAGATCCCATCATCAATTACAAGTTTACCAAAGGCTTTCCCTGGCAAGGTAAAGCACTCTCCTAACTACACTTCGCTCTATAAATATTTTCTTCTCCTTTTCGCTTCTAAATTTCTATCTACAATATTTTTCCTTTTTTCCTAGGACCAAAGGTCTCCGAATTCGTGTAGCTGCGCATCCTTAAACCAACCAACCACCAACTAAGGATTGAATCTGAGCCGCTCTATAGTGCATTCCAGAACGCAATATTGCAATACGGAAAGCTTTGGAAAAATTATTGGGGTTCTAAGCAGGGTGATTACGACCTACGGAGACACAGTCAGACTGTTTTTGGATTGGGTAGAAGTTTAGAGGAGGCGTAGTTGCCTATGTAAAGCTGCTAATCTACATGGCGACCTTTACTTTTTTTGTTTCCATCCTGAAACAGAAATTTAAAAATGCAGAGTGAAAAGGAGAAAAGATGGAACATAATTATATAAATAGTAGATGAATCCTACAGAAATATAGCATGGATTTCTACCCTTTCGGAGGCATAATAAGAATGGGTGATGTACGAATTCTACTCTAAAGCTTTGTACAGTTCTAATTAAGTTAGCCGAATGCTCTGCTCATTTTCGAGTGCAAATAAATACAAATTGTTTAACTATTCAATAACCAAAAGACCACCTTTGAATAAAAATCTTTAAATTTCTTCCAAAATCCTCTCTGAATATTTCCGAGTTTCTTTGTTTGACTCACTCCACCTCAATGTTTTCTTTGATTATACATTTGTTAGTCAATATTTATACTTACTTTAAAAAGTCGCAATTGAGACAGCAAATTTATTGGAGTGACATCTTCAACTAAATAAACTTTACCATGCACGGATAAATCTAAAACATTTTCCTCAGAATTTGAATTATTGTTAGTTTTCGCGTTCTTATTATTATTGTTTGCAAGTTCATCATTTTTCTTATTATCTGTAGTTGTTTTAAATGATGCAATATAAGTTCCTGGTAATTTCTGTAAAAAAATATTATTAGTTTAATTATAATTTCACATGCAATAGCAAAATTTAAATAAATGCACATACACTTACCTTATGGATCTGCTGGGTTTTTTCCGTTTGATGGCGAATCTGATTTGATTTTTTGTATGTTATCAATGAGACCTCACCAACTTTGGACAAATCTAAAATTCCATCTCCATCACTGACCGCACTATGGAGTTCTTCTTCAAGATTCTTAAAAATAAAGAGAAATTGTTTTGGTAAAGATTAAACATTTCAGTTTTATGTTACAACACTTACATCATTGCCATGTGCATTTTCGTCATGGCTTCGGTTTTCAGTTGATGCGAATCTGTTGGTAGATAAATCTAAAATGTTTCCTTGGTTTTGATCTAATCTGATGCGATTTATTGATTTATTATATGAGAGAAATTTATTATCATCGGAAAAATTTGAATGTATCAATTGGTCGCGATCATCGTATGGGATATCCTTAAAAATAAAACATTTATTTTAAGTGAATAAATTACGGAATATCGTAATATAGAGTAATATATAAGGATTGAAAACTGTTTCCTAGGGTACTAGACTTTTCTGACAAATGTTGATATATTAAGCACTTTAAAATTTTCTATATATTCCCTTGGATCAAAACAAATTGAGTGATACCCATAAAATAAGAGGCACAAATAAAAATTGCTTTGCATGGTGTATGTTATATAGTATTTAAATTAAGCAATGTAATTTTTGGAGGGATAAATAGTCGTCTAAAAAGATCAAGGTGGACAAATTTGTTAAGTTTAAAAATATAGAAAAACTACCATTCGCTAAAAAAATCATTTCCGTGATCTAAAGCTATAGAAGCACCTCAATAAAAATAAGTTAGTGCTTGTTAATTTTTTCGACTTTGAAAACAACATATTCCGGAAGGCATATATTCTATTAGTTATAACACCACTCATCACAAATCGTTCTGATGCTGTATAATGGATGCATGGAGTTAGTGGATACACTTCGAGAACATTTTCGATTTATCCCTGTTGTGAGACTATAGCGGGAGGTTTTGTTTTTACCTCATGCTGCGGGGCACTGCGCTATATCCATAAAGTATGTATCGTATTCGTCAATGTCATAGTCTGCGTCGTAGCTTTTGTATAATATCATAGTTTTTCCAACAGTAACCTCAATTCTAAGCCATTCGTCCGACAGCTGTTAAAATTATTCCAGTGACAGCTCATTATATTGTTTACAAGCGTACAAAAGAATTTTGGTTAGAATTTTTCAGATAAAAAGTTATTCGTGATGAAATTCAAGCGGATAGTGTGATTTCTTTATATTTGGCTGGAAAACCACTAGTGGCTATCGTTAGAGCACTGCAGCATTTTAATGTGAATAAATCTTTTGTGTCTCGTACCGTCGTTCGTTACCGTGATACTGGTAGCTTAGCCCGACGTCAAGGAAGTGGACGGAAGAAAACAGCACCATCAGCAAAAAGTAAAAAAGCGACTTGATCGAAAACCGCGTCGCAGTGGCCGGAAAATGGCTAGTGGGCCGAACATATCGCAATATTCCATTCAGCAAATATTGAAAAATGAGCTCGGGTTAAAGCTATTGAAATTCCAAAAAGTGCAAGAACTTACACCGCAACAGAAAGAAAATAGACTCAAAAGAGCTAAAGAGTTGCTTCGCTTGGCCGAAAGTGGTGAACTGCCGAATTTGGGTTTCTCCGATGAGAAAACATTCGTTGTCCAACAGTTTGTAAACAAACAAAATGATCGTGTTTACTTGCCAAAGAGACCAGCTGAAAATGTGCACCTTCGGTTAGCCACCAAAACTCAAGCGCCGACCATGGTGATGGTGTGGGCCGCTATAACAGCGATGGTCGCTCTCCGCTCGTACTAATCGACCGTGGCATCAGAAAAATGCTGAATATTATCGCGAAAATATTCTGCAGGGTGTATTAAAGCCTTGGGCACGCAAAGATTTTGACAGCAGACCTTGGACATCACAGCCGGACTTAGCACCATCGCACTCAGCACGCGCCACTCAAGAATGGTTACAAAATGAGGTTCCTCACTTCATTTCCAGCGCACAATGGCCACCAAAATCTCCGGATACCAATCCGTTGAACTATTGTGTCGGGAGTATTTTGGAAACCAAGGTTGGCACTAAAAAATACCGAAATGTCGATCAACTCAAGCAAGCGCTTCGGCGGGAATTGGCCAAAATACCGCAGAGGAACATTCGGGCAGCGTGTGACGGTTTCATTGGCCGTTTGAAGGCCATAATTCGTCCCAAAGGTGACTAATTCGAACAAATCTAAACTTATTCTAAAATTTGATGCTACTTCCGACATTTTCTTTCTTTCATTCAATAGAACTAAAAAAAAATGTAAAAATTTGACTTTGTTGACGTTTCTTTTCTTCATGTATGTACTATAATTGTACAAAAAGTAATGAATGGTACTATATTTGGTATTGGGTGAAAGGATAGGGCTGAAACCCTCAAATTATAATAATTTAATTTAATATAAATGATAAATTTTGAAGTCTCTTTGGTGTGTTAATTTGCTTTCTATTTTCCTTGCATAGCTGATTCATATAAATTGTTATATTTATTATTATTATTTTTTTTAATGTTTAATTAAAATATGATTTTTAAGATAAAGAATATTATAAATAATGTTTGTGTAGTCATGTATAGAATTTTTGGGACCGTCTCTGGCCCTTTGGGCCGAAAAGGAAAAACTTGTTTAATATTTAAAACCCGGAAAGTCTAAAAATTTATAAAGATGTATGAAATTTTGATGAAAGAAAGTTTTTTATTTGAACAAATTGTGTATTTAAAAAATAAAATTAAAAATAAAAAAATAGTAAGACAGGAAAGTCTATATATATGTCGGCATTTTATGAAGGACTATTTATGGGGACAAAAGGTACAAAAATCTGAATCTATGCACGAAATCCATAATATCTCCAATTGAAGTAATTGTCATATATATAAATAAACAAAGAGTTTAGAAGATTTCAGATAGAAAAAACTACAATTTCAACAATATACGTTTACAAAAAAAAACCGAGCGTCTGGCATTCATGGAATAGTAATAAATTGCACTCGTGTTACAATGTTTTATTTTTGGGGCCTCTTTATGTATGTCGAAAGAAAATGAAAGCAAAAGAAATATACCAATTCAATCTATATTTTCAAATTTAGGATTTTTATTTATTTAAACAAACACTTCAAAAACCCTCATATACATATCTTTTTTCTTTTGACATTCATTTAAAGACCATAATTTTTTGTTATAAAACAATTAAACCGTGCAAAATCTATTTAAGTTATTATTAAATATATTTTTGAGCAATTGTTAGTTGGCACTTTTTTACTTTGCATATTGTATTAAAATAAGTCGATTATGTGAATGATTTACTGTTTTGAATGGTGATATATAAAGATATATGTTTTAGCGTTTTAGATTTACGGTGGAACCATCAGGAATTTGTGTTCCATCGTTGTTACGATCTTTTCTTACTAGCTTAGATGTTTCACTTACTAAGTGAGCATCATCCTCATAATCCTGACATAATGCCTTTTTTAAGCTGCAGTTCAATGATGTGGTTGGAGAAATTGGTTTTTGTTCTAGTTCAATTACGGTGTAACCATCATCAATTTGTATTTCATCGGTGTTAGCATCTGGATCATTACTATCTTTTCTTATTGTTTGAGATGTTTTAATAACTAAATGAGCCTCATCCTTATATTCCTGACCAATATTCCTCTGCAAGTTGCAGTTCAATGATGATGTTGGTTGATCTACAATGTTTATGGTGTGATAAATTGTTTTATCAAAATTTGTTTTAGTCTCGTCTAACTGTTTCAAATTGATCAATGTAAAACCATTGTCAATTTGTATATGACTGTTGACAACTGACAATAAGTCCTCGTGTTTTCCAAAAGTTTTAGGTCTATTTCTCCACTGTGACTTTGTAATATTTTCAGGGACTATGCCAATATCGCTGGCATCATTATCACTATTCAAACAAATATTAACAGAACTGAATTTAGTCGCATTCCTCTTTTTGGAAATGGGCGAAGAATTCTCTTTATTGTCCCCGAAATTGGTCAGATCAATTAAGATATCATCATCGTCATCAATATATATTGATTTGTTGCAAGTGTTTATTGTTTTCACAGAACCAATGGAGCTATTAGCTTTGTTATGGTCATTACATGTGTTAGTTGTTGTCAAGGATTCATCGTATACAAATATCTTAACTTCATCGTTGGTCTCAATTTCTCTAAGCATTGAGACGTTGGAGTCGGTATCATTCCACGGTGACGGTTTGTACACTGGTATTTTATGAGATTTGGAACTCTTTTTCCGTACCTAGTAATTACATAAATATTGTAAAATCACGTATTAAATATTTTGATATTCATAATGATTCTTCAATCTGGATGGATATAAATAATTATGTATGGCAATTAGAGATAACGGTATTATATACATCTTGATCGAGGACTGAGAACGTACTCTACCAAACTAACTTAAAAAACTAAAAAAAGCAGATAAGTTAGATCGGTTCGTTTAAACATAAAAAACCTTAAATGGGAACCGAAAATTATTAATTTCCACAGACTGACGAATATGGACATAGAATTTTGTTCATTTTGTACTAGTTAATCTATTGAATACTTGTTGCAATTTAGTAAGATAAGTAGATACTGAAGACAAGGCACGGTCGACGAGAAGGTTTTTGTTGTAACAGACAAAACCAACTTATATGGTTATGCTATTTCGTTCATGTAAAACGAAAGCATAACAAGTGTAGAAAGATGAAAATGTTTATAAGTGCGGTTTTTTGATTTAGAAGTTTTTCCAAAGAATTCTAGTTTTATGTAATTCTTTGGTTCCTCTTCTATTGAGCTTACGATCTCGTCACGTGGGTAAAAAAAGTTTTTTTGTCATAGAAGCTATTTTTAAAATTACTTCTGGGGAGAATATCCCAGACATAAAACAAGATAACTGATGAGGATTGCTGGCTCTTTCCGAAACCTAGGTATTCCCTGCCTTACCCCCTATTAAACATTACCATCGTTCTCCACTAATAAAAAAACGTTGTTTTTATAAAAACAATAATAATGGGATTAAACCTGACAATGGTCAACAACAAATGGTATCCCAAACAAACAAGCCAACAATGTTCTAAAGCGATCTTATTTAAAAAAAATGACGCAAAAGACTCAGCACCATTCTGTAACTTTCATAAAAAACAAAGGCGTAACTCACAATATTTAAAAGTTAACAATTAGTTGTCCAATCAAATAGACATTTGAAAGTGCAAAAATTAACACTAAGGTGAAATTTGATACGGAGCAAAAAAATAAAAACCAGTAATGAGAGTTCAAAATCCTGTGCGTATTTAGTAGAGCTCCCGTAACAAAACATTTTATATTGGGAATTTATGTATGTATAACATTGCTATAGTGCATGATATGACTTCGATAAGGAATATATTAAAAAATATTTATTTCAGCAATAGATATACCGAACCGAGTTTCACCAAATGGTAAAATTCAGTTGAATATAAAAAAATCGATTCAAGTTGGGCTGATATTATATATATGGGGAGCAATATACGTAAAATCGGCTGAAGATGTATACCGAAAAGCTACATTTTCGAGCAGTATCTGATGCCCTGTTTCAAATATCATTGTTTTGGAGTGCATATTACGCATGTGAGGGAATTTAACACCAATTCGGATGAAACATATATATAGGAGCTATAGCTATATCTAAACCCATTTTAACCCAAATTTGAAGCACTTGCTTTTAGGCCGAAATTCGTCGGAAGAGTCAAATTTCGGCCCATTTTGGCTGATATTAGCCATTATTTGCACAATAAACCTGAAAACGGATTAAGAATATATATGGGAGCTATATCCAAATCTGAACCGACAAAATTCAAAGGTATTTACGAGCTCTATAAGATATCTGGTACCAAATATCATTGAATGTCGAATGGATATTACAAATGTGAAATACTTAAACACCAAATCGGAAGAAACATATATATGGTAGCTATAGCTATATGTGAACCGATTTTCACCAACTTTGTCTCTTCCAGACTGAATTCGGTCGGATGTGCCAAAATTCAGGTCATTTAGACTGATATTATCCATTTGGTGTACGATTAACCCGAAATCGGTTGAAGATATATATGGAAGCTATATCCAAATCTGAACCGATCTTGATACAACATAGCAGAGGTATTTCTGGGCTGTATCTGATATCTGATACCAAACATCATCAATATAATGTGGGGAACTTTAACACCAAATCAGATGAAAACTATATAAGGGAGTTATAGCTATATCTAAAAACCGATTTTCTCCAAAATTGGTGTACTTGCTTCTAGACTGAATTCGTCGAATGTACCAAAATTCAGGACTTTTGAACGGATATTGGCCATTTGGTGCACAATTAACCCGTCCTTTGGCCAAACTGATGTTGTTTGGGAAATTTCATCTCAATCGGATAATAAATTTATCTAGGGTATAAAAAGTGATTAAATATGAATCCTAAAAACCTAAATAGACTCTTCAAGGACAAGAAAAAGATGAAAGCGCGTGTAACAATATGATAAACGGACACAATAATTTATTCGAAGGCAATGCAAAATTAATGAGTTCTTGACTGAATTTAACAGTAATATAACATAAGATGTTTGAAATATCGTCGAATACAATTAAAAACGTATATAAATAAAATGTCTAATTATAGTCCATTGAAATATCTCTGTTAAGACTGGGAACTGAAGCCAATGCCATTAAATTGTTAGTTTGAATGTCTCTTAACTGCAGAGACCAATAACTCAGTCATAAATCGAATATAATTTTTCATTTAAAATACTTTCTTTACCTCCCAATTTTCGGTATTTTTGCCACATTTAGCCAGATTTTGCAACGAAAAGGCTTACAAATTGGTACCCATTTCGAATTTAACCTACAGTGACAGAACATCTTTTATACAGGTCTCAAATTACCTATAACCCCATACAGCGGTATTATTTATTATATATATTATTCTTTTTTAATGGAATGGTTTCAAATTTAGAACTCGTATTGGATAATAAATCAAGTAGCAGAACATGGCTAGTAAAGGTCTCTGTTTTGGAAAAGAACCCTCTATTCGATTTGTATTTTAAAGACTAATACTGCAGTTTTCTGAAGATTTCACTGGCACTTTTAAAACGGAACAGATTCGAATATTGAATAGTTTTATTTATAAAGGTTTTCTTTATCAAATGGCTTTTTGTTACTTACATTGTTCCGCATTCTTTTAAAGTCGTTATCAAATGCTGCAAATTCTGTTCCCATTGAATTCCTCTCAAGAGATTTGTTTTTGCCGTGAAGTTTCTTCCCATTACCGATATCTTTCGCAATTTTCTTTTGGCTTGCGGGTATATTATTATCAAATGTTTTGAATGTGGGAGGAGATTCTTCGGTAACTGTTTGATCTTGGTCATGTTTCAAAACTTGTGACCTCGTGGTTTCAATGTTATCCAAAACTATACTAGAAATCTCGCATTGTTCGCTTTGTTTTCTCGATGCTTCCAAACGTTTTTCTTCTTCGTCCCTTATGCCTTCATCCAAAAGTTCGCGTTTGACCACTATGCTGCAATCGTTTTCTGGCATTTTGAACAAATTTATATTTCTCACCTTACTTTGAGGAGAAGTTTCAGTGGAAGAAGTCGCTGTAGCTTTGAAGCTAAATGAGTCGCTGCTGCCCTTTGATGAATGAGAGGATTCCATTCCGTTATTGTTTTACGCGTTGTTTGGTGTTTTTTATAGTATTCACACTACTCCAATAGCAAATGCATTTCTTGGAAATAACTGTTTTTTACAACACAATTTTTATGCATCTCTATATAGTAATATAAAAACATACACATCAATTAATATTTTCCAAGAATATAACTTTAATACTGTTGCATGTTTATACGAAATTGTTCATATTTTAAGACACAGTCAATTTGAGAATTAAAAAATAAAGATTTTATTTTCCAATTTATAACAGTACAACTTTGAATTGGTTGAATTGGGTTTTTTGTTGGTGCCAAAAGAAAAAAAGGAAAATAGTGTTGGTAAACTTTCAAAAGAGATGGTGAGATTTGTCAGGGTTGCCGAAATAATTACAGCCTTAGATGCAAATTCTGAATTGTTTGCACTAAAATCCCTACTTAATACTTGACGTACGGCTTCAACGTTTTTATTTATTTATTGAATCCATTCTTTAACAGCGTTACCTAAAATTTGACGTACGAATCACACAATTTAAACACATGTTTAAACATGGCAGAAGAATACAGGTAGATGCATTGTTATGTCAAAAAAAAAGCAAGTTATAAAGCAGTAAGTTCGGCCGGGCCGAACTTTTAATACCCTCCACCATTTGCAACGAATTTGGAAATTTTCCAAAAATATAATCCTTAAAAAATTCTGTTAAAATTATAAAAATACCGAATATAGCCGTTATATTGGGGTCTATTGGGGTCATTGTTTGTCATAAGCAATTACGATATTCAAATTCGAAACTGGACCCGCACCGACAATTTTCTGTCACAGACTGTAGTTCCCATAACGAACTTCAAATACCAAATTTTAAACAATTCCGGTTAATAATGTCGCTAAAATCATCAAAATACCGAACATAGCGAGGTGCCGTTATATGGGGGCTATACGAAGACGTGGACCTGCACAGACAATTTTCTGTCTTAAGGTGTAGTATCCATTTGGAACTTCAAATACCAGATTTGAAACAATTCCCGTGAATAATGTCGCTAAAATCATCAAAATACCGAATATAGGGAGGTACCGTTATATTGGGGCTATGCGAAGACGTGGACCTGCAAAGACAATTTTCTGTCTTAGGGTGTAGTATCCATTTGGAACTTCAAATACCAGATTTGAAACAATTCCCGTGAATAATGTCGCTAAAATCATCAAAATACCGAATATAGGGAGGTACCGTTATATTGGGGCTATACGAAGACGTGGACCTGCAAAGACAATTTTCTGTCTTAGGGTGTAGTATCCATTTGGAACTTCAAATACCAGATTTGAAACAATTCCCGTGAATAATGTCGCTAAAATCATCAAAATACCGAATATAGGGAGGTACCGTTATATTGGGGCTATACGAAGACGTGGACCTGCAAAGACAATTTTCTGTCTTAGGGTGTAGTATCCATTTGGAACTTCAAATACCAAATTTGAAACAATTCCGGTGAATAACGTCGCTAAAATCATCAAAATACCGAATATAGGGGGGTTACCGTTATATGGGAGCTATATGAAAACGTGGACCTACATGGCCCATTTACGAACTTAACCTGCCTACTGGAAAAATAAACATGTGTGCAAAATTTTAGCCATCTATCTCAATTTATTCGAAAGATAGCGTGATTACAACAGACAGACAGACGGACAGACAGACAGACGGACAGACAGACAGACAGACGGACATCGCTAAATCGACTTAGAATTTTCCGCTGATCAAGAATATATATTCTTTGTTGGGTCTGACATGAGTATTTCGAGGAGTTACAAACGGAATGACAAAGTTAATATACCCTCCATAGTATGGTGGAGGGTATAAAAATTAAATGTTTTTTTAAATATAATTAGATTTTTATATGTTTTCTTATACTACGTCAATCGGAGGCTATTATAATTCGCGTTTTCAACAATTCTTACAAATTTAAATAATTTTTCATTCAACATTTTCAATTCCAAAATTGGTTTGACAGTTCATTGTCCCAGCAGCGGTGTCGACGCGTCTACCTATATTCTTCCAACATGGCATTTAAATGATAGTTACCAAAATACGTCGGGCGTACGAATTTTCAAAGTTAAACATTTGGTCTGTTCCAGAACTGATAGAATGTAAAAGTCTTTACTACGATAACCGATTTTCCCTTTAAGATATCGAAGAAAATTGTAAAACTAGTAGATTCCTTCAGGTTCTGAAACAGAACAATTCTCAACATTGACATTTTTTGAATTTTTTTGTGTGTTGAATAATTACAAATAATACAAAAAAAAGTATACCTATAATTGGAAAATATCACTATGAATTTAAAAATGTATCAATCCTGGTAGTTTCTAAGATATGGACAAAGCGTATCTGGGTAATACGGACATAAAAACAGTTTACCATAGCGGTGAAGTCTTATACTCTACGTCGAATTTTAGGTAATGCTGTAACACTAAAGACTTCTAGGCCAATAATAGTATTAACAATAAATATATAATACTCCCAAGTAGGATTTAATTACTATTCAATATAGAATAAAATGTTTGGTATTCTGTTCAAAGACATCTTTCACCCAAATCGAATTCGTTTTTAATTTGTTTAAAAATCTGGGAGTCAATCATTGTTGTATGAAAATGTGAAATGAAAACTTTTACAGAGGAAAGAAGTGTCAAATGAAAAATATTATAAAAGAAATATTTTTCATGTCATATTTTCATAGAACAAGAATCCAGCCCCTGGAAAAAATTCGTCTATTTCTGAAAAGTTCAGTTTCCATAACCATTATTTTCTGAATTATTTGTTTTAGCTCAATAGAAATTGTGTTGCTATGGCAACATATAAACATACAATTTCGCCATCATTCTGTAAAAAACGGCCAATTTCTCTTCGAAAGATAGGGGTCTCCCTATTATTAAATGTTAAAAATGTAAAATTGTGTAATTAAAAAACGTTGGATTTGACCATGGTAAAATTAAAAAGATAAAATCATTTCAAATAAACATCTTCGCATTTTCTGAATCAACGCTTGGGAACACAGATATATCAAAATTTTTGAAATGTTTTTTTTTTTTTTTTTTTTTCAAAATATGTCGATTTTTATAAGTTTTCTCATACGACACCAATCCGAGTTTTTTATGATATGCATTTTTCACTAATTTTTACAAATTTGAATAATTTTTCTTTCAAAAATTATAATTTCAAAAATAGGTTGGCAATTCATTGTCGCATAAGCTGTGCGACAAATCGATAAATCAAGAAGTTTCATTTGATTTGCAAAATGTATAATTTTCCCTGCAAAAGATTTAATTTCCGTTGCAAAATGTTTCATTTCAATAGCAAAATGTTTCCTTTAATTTGAAAATGCCATATTTATATTACGCTTACCCAAATACATCGGGCGTAAAAAATGTCAACATTTACAATTGAACAGTTTCCTTTTTTTTTGTTAAAAACACAAATAAATGATACGAAAAATATGAATATTTGTAATAACAAAATATTGCACATGGTACAACAGGTGATTGCTTGCAAGTTTTTGCGAGAATTCTGTCGGCTTACTTTGGATAGTTTTGTTGCAAAGGAAAACAACTGCATTCATCTCCCAGAAATAATATATTAGACTATTTCTGCAAGAAAATTAAACACACAGACGTATTCTTACAAACTAGTTGGTGAACGAACACGCCGTATATAAATAAAACAATTAATTAACCTTTTCAGAGTTGCCTTAATTGAAAAAAGATTGACTTATTAGCTGTCGATAATAGTGTTTTCAAATAAACCTATATTTTATTGTGAATGGACAATATTGTAGATAAGACAATTGTAAACAATTTATATTTACATCAAAATATGAGTAAAGTTATAGAAATTATTGATTCTGATGAAGATGCCGCGCCGACTAGGACATCTTTGAATGCAGCCAACGAAACTTCTCCAGGACAATCAAGAAGGCGCCCTCGAAAGAGTGTCCTGCATGCAATTGATGATGCTGAAGTGCAATTCGAAACAATTGCCGTGGAAGATGAAGAAAAGACAAATCCACAAGAAGACATTAGTTTATTGAAGAGTAGCAGCTCAGGAAGACCACTGTCACGATTGACTCCAAAAACAACACCAAAAATACTTGCCCCCAAACCACCGTCAAGCGCGGATGCAGCTCATGCTACTTTCGAGGAATATTTAACTAGGCCCGATGTCAAGGAATGCATGACATCCATAGCCCTGGAACGAGTTCGCGTTAACTATTTACTTACCCTATTTGGCATGCCGGAAATAAACTTCTCGCTTTACACCCAGCCAGATATTTTAAAGTTTCAATTTGAAGAACGACTGAAACAACAAAAAATGATGCAAAATGTCGGAAGCCGTGTGCGAAATCCGGCGAAACCAGATTCTGTGCCAACTTAAGACAGTACAATTTAGAACAATTCTTTGTGTAGTTCTAGTAGTTTGAAACTTAAACTAAAAAGATTCTTGAATATTTAAAATATAATATAACGGTGACTGAAAAGCTGAGAAAAATTTTTTTTACTTCTGGCAATGGAGAACATGTATTCCTAGCCTCAATAGAACACTAAAAAGATAATTTTTTGAAATTCTTTACGAACAAAAATTTTCAATTTCAGTTAAATTCATTACTGATTATAAAAGAAATTGGAATAAAAATACACCACATTAAATCTATTGGTATCATCTGCTCAGACACCATAAGCGTTTTAATTAGCGCAAAACTCTGGGACGATTTGCATATGACCCTGTGTGGTAAGCACTCTTAAGCCTCAATAGAACACTAAAAAGATAATTTTTTGAAATTCTTTACGAACAAAAATGTTCAATTTCAGTTAAATTCATTACTGATTATAAAAGACATTGCAACAAAAATACACCACATTATATGTATTGGTATCATCTGCTCAGACCCCATAAGCTTTTTAATTAGCGCAAAACTCTGGGACGATTTGCATATGACCCTGTGTGGTAAGCACTCTTAACTTTTCAAAGGATCGGCATAGGTGACTAAACTATGGCTCAGATTACGTATTTTCGATTCGTTTATGTCGGTTTCGTCGAATTTTCAAATCACATTAATTTGCAAAAACATATAAATATATAATTTTGTTTAATGCCTGCTTCACATCGACACATAACGTAGGCATTTTATGCAGATTCGTGTTTTATTAGGCGTCTAATCAAAGGATTTTATCAGCGTAAATATATCTTTAATTACCAAATTATTGTAAAACTATTATTGTGTTTAGATGAGTGTCGATGGGTAAATATATTTTGAAGAATGATATAGAGGTAAACGCTTCATTCAGACAAGATCGACTGTTAAATATGAGAACCAGTTGATGATATCGATGTAATCCAGATTTCGGCAGCAGGTAGGGGCATTGGTGAGTTAAGTACATGTTCCGCTAACATTAAAAACGGAATAAAAACATGGAAGTTAATAAGCCTTCATCATATGATGGAGTGAATAAAAATAGAAAACAAGAAGAAAAAACAGAACTTATGGAACAAATCGAATTTAGATCCAGCTGACGAAAAATTCAGAAATTTTTACCAAAGGTAGGTCATGTTATCCTAATTACAGCGACATCAATTTTTCGGGTGAAATCAATACTTCTCAAGATAAATGGGTTCAAAAGTTGCAATTTGTAAGCCGATAATCGAAATAAAAACTTCAAAATGTCACTACCGGTTGTTTTTTGTATCCTGATTACAAAAACAAAATATTTCGGGTCTATACTTCCCGAAATATTGAGTACCAAAATTTTGTAACAACTGTAATTTGTTTTTTAAAATTTCCCAATAAAAGTTATTTTGAGAGTTAATCTCTTTTTATATTGAGGGCCTTCGGTCGGTTTTTGAGATTTTCTCCTCTCGGGTATGTCCAATACCGGCTTTGCGAACACATGTTCATTTTATATGGAGGGCCTTCGGCCGAGGCTAGAGTAATATGTCCAAGACCGGTTTCGTGAACAAAAGTTTAGGGAGGTTTTTTCAAATTTGAGCCATGTATGGACCCACCTCCCGAAAATGTTTTGTGGTTGTAATCTGGATACGAGAACATACCTGTAGTTTGAAGTTTTTATTTCGATCATCGGTTTAGAAATATCAAAGAAAAAACGCGGTATTTTTGCAACTTTGGAAACGCTTATCTATGGATGTATTGGTTTCTCCAAAAATATGTATGTTGCAGTGATTAGGATAACACGACCTACCTTCGATAAAAACTCCAGGAGGTACCATATAACGGTACCTCCCGATATTCGGTATTTTAATGATTTTAGCGACATTATTCAACCGAATTGTTTTAAATTTCGCATTCGAAGTTTGTAATGGGTACATCAGCCTATGCCTAAAGATTTCGTATGCAGTTCACGTCTTTGTATAGCCCCCATATAACGACATCTCCCGTTATTCGGTATTTTGATGATTTTTGCGACAATATTCGCCGAAATTGTTTAAAATTTCATATTTGAATGTCTTAATGGATACTACAGCCCATGGTACAATGAAGAGAAGGTAGGTCAACTTTGAAAAAATTGCAAGTATAGAGGTCTAACTGTTTGGCTTGTAATGTCAGAATTACTATCAAAACAATAAAAAAATCAAACAACTTGTTGCATTTACTTTGAATAAATAATTGAAAACCGTGAAAACTGAATGAAAAGTCAACATTTCTTTTCAAAACCAGGTTCTATATATCTCTAAAGGATTATTTTGCTACAAAAACTCTAGATTTTGTCGATGCATACGATGAAATAAACATTTTGAAAACATCCGAATTTGAATGTTTTTTGAATAATTTTTTTGTTATTGAAATGAAAACACATACATAAACAAATAAAGATGACCTATTAAGCCAAGAAAATAAAAAAAATTGAAATCGTATGGAATCATAGCCCTACCTTGATATCATTGTACCATGCTACAGCCCATCAAGGTAGGGCTATGATTCCATATTATTTGAAAAATAAAATCAAAATATTTTCCAAATCATTAATTGGAAGAAACATACATTGCGGGCGCACATAAAATATGTTAATAAGTTTTGCCACGGCATTGAAAGATTAAAAGTTTGGACCATAATTTTTGAAAGAAAATCCCGGCATTCCATTTATTTTTTGCCCTATTTCTTCTAAATCTTACAACCGCACTTATAAACATTTTCATCTTTCATCAGCGTAGAATCCTAAGTTGTTTTAGCGATGGCCGCCTTACTGTCTGTGTGTCTGTCCGTCTATTGTGATCACGCTATCTTTGGAATGAATTGATATAGAAGGCTATAATTTTGGACACATGTGTATTTTGCCAGTAGGGTCATGTCGGCCCACGTCTTCTCATAGCCCCCATATAACAATACCTCCCTTCCTTCGGTATATTGATGATATTAGCAATATTATTCGCCGGAATTGTTTCAAATTTCTTCAGGTACCTCCCCCTCAAAAGGTTAAAATTTTGACAGCTATTCGCATAAAATTTAAATTTATGTTCGCGCACATTCCAACATTTTACAAAATTTGTTACTAGGTTTATCAAAATACCGAATATATGTTTACATATCAAATATCAAGTGCCAAACCGTTGTCCAATATGGGCAATGTTTTGACACCGGTTGTAGAACCCGGTATGAAGTAAAAATACTAAATTTCAAACAAATCTATTAGAAAATTTGACTTCTATCGTCAAATACCTAATATCCTATGGTACCGTTGTATGGGGGCTATACGAAAAAGTAGACCTATATAACAAATGTTCTGTCACCGAAGCTGGAACCCATTACAAAAAACAAATACCATTTCTTAGACGAACCTATGGAAAATCATAAAAATACCTAATATCGGAATGTACCCTAATATGCGGGCTATACGAAAACGTGGACCTATACATACAATGTTCCTCCACTGGAGCTAGAACTCATATCGAACTACAAATACCAATTCCTAGACAAATTAGTGGGAAATGTGGCTAAAACCACCAAAATACTGAATATCGGGAGCATAAAGGCGTATATGGAATTGTTTCTGGGGTAATCCACAAGAACTACCCTCTGAGGTATGCCATTAAGTTTTGACGTGGAACAGTTTTTGATGTAACGCAAAGCAAGACATCGTTTTGTTATACCGCTTAGGGTTTTCAAATCATTTGTGTTAATGGTGGAATAGTGATTATCTATTATGAACTATTGATTACACGCTCATTCAGAATAATAAATACACATCCAAAAACTGTGTCTATGTTTTGTAATTTCAATGTGGTAAATTAGCAAAATTCTACGAGTTTTATGATATTTTTCTCACTGCTCCACCAATTTTGAAAAAAAAAAATCATGCAGCGCGTAGAATATTGTTGATTTACCACAAGAAAGTATAATTGCTGCGATTGTAAGTTTGTTGAAGAGAGGGGTCAGCAAACTAGAAATATGCAAATCTGTGATGGAGTCTTATAGTTTCAAATAAACTTTTAAATATGCAACAGTTAGTTTTCGCTTATTTTCCTTTTTTACAAAATTCTTATATTGGGGAAAACCGCGAAACAATAATGTAATATTGGGGATTGAGTCTGAAATAGTAGGACAATACAGTTTTATCCCAATATTGTACAATGTGTTGTTCATTAACATCGAAAATTTGCATTTATTTTGCAACCGAATTTGAAAAAATTTGAAGTTGTTTAATTTTATTATTGAAAAAAAAAAAAAAAAATACACACACATACACAGAATATGTATATGTTTTGACAGAATAAGGGTGCAAGTACATAAAAGGCTTGAAGTCAAGGCTAGGCATATTATGTAATGTCAAGTTATAATGGATAATGACGGCAGGATTTTAGTGCGGCTCTGTAATCCCTTTGTGAAATGTCACAAAATATACCTAGCCATGACTTCATATATAACATGACCCCATATAACAATACCTCCCTTCCTTCGGTATATTGATGATATTAGCAATATTATTCGCCGGAATTGTTTCAAATTTCTTCAGGTACCTCCCCCTCAAAAGGTTAAAATTTTGACAGCTATTCGCATAAAATTTAAATTTATGTTCGCGCACATTCCAACATTTTACAAAATTTTGTTACTAGGTTTATCAAAATACCGAATATATGTTTACATATCAAATATCAAGTGCCAAACCGTTGTCCAATATGGGCAATGTTTTGACACCGGTTGTAGAACCCGGTATGAAGTAAAAATACAATACAGGGATTGAGTCTGAAATAGTAGGACAATACAGTTTTATCCCAATATTGTACAATGTGTTGTTCATTAACATCGAAAATTTGCATTTATTTTGCAACCGAATTTGAAAAAATTTGAAGTTGTTTAATTTTATTATTGAAAAAAAAAAAAAAAAAATACACACACATACACAGAATATGTATATGTTTTGACAGAATAAGGGTGCAAGTACATAAAAGGCTTGAAGTCAAGGCTAGGCATATTATGTAATGTCAAGTTATAATGGATAATGACGGCAGGATTTTAGTGCGGCTCTGTAATCCCTTTGTGAAATGTCACAAAATATACCTAGCCATGACTTCAAGCTTCTTATGTACTTAGCCCTTAAGGGCTCCAAAAAAAAAAAAAAAAAAATTGTATATAGGGGGTAGCTTTGCTCTGCCTTCTGTAATTGTGCCATGATTCTGCGTATGTAAATCGAATCTAAATCTCTAAATCAAAATCTGAAT